TTCACCACACCGCCACTCGGCTCTTTTCTTCACAAGCAAAGCCGCGGCCGCCCCGCGACACCGAAGCCACGGCTTCCAGGCCGCGAGGGGCACGACGTCCAGGACGGCCCCGTCCGCTAGCTCTATCTCCGCAGGCTCCGGCACGCCCTCTCTCCCGCCCCAGGCCCTTACCAAGGGAGCGAAGCCTCCGCGGTCCCCTCCACCTTCTCCTTCGCCGCCGCCACCGACACAGCGCCGTAGAAACCGGAACTTCCTTCGCGCGGGGCCGCCGCTTCCACAAAGGCGCCGCGCCGCCGCCTTCAGCGCTGGGCCCGCCGGGAGATGGAGTACAGAACCCGGTCCCGCCGACTCCACTCCCGCCGTGCCCCGCGCGTAGGGGGCTTGCTTTCTAGGGCGGGGCGTAAGGTCACGCTGCTCGCTGCCGTCCAATAGAGGGTTCACTTCCCCGTCGATCCGCGGGGCATGATGGGGTTTGTGGTTTTGGCCTCTGCCCTAAGGCAGCTCCTCCTCTTGCGCTTTCCTCGAAGTTGAGGAAAGCGTTTGTTGTTGGCTTGTCTTTCTCGAGGTTTGCGTAAGCAGGTGGAGTATGGCCCTCATCTACCTAGCTCAAGGCTACCTTAGTGAGGGCTGGCCGGTTAGCTCAGTTAAAGCTTAGCCTTATATCGGCCAGCCGCCAAAAAATAAAATAAAATAAAAAGGCTGCCTTATTGTCCGTTAGTATCAGGGAAATGGAAGGAAGCCCGTTCGGGCATAAGTCTGAGCAGCTGGGGGAAGAAGCTGCTGGCTGTGCGCCCACAAAAGGCCCTGGCTCCCGGCCCTTCCCACCAAGGGAGCGTAGCTCTTCTACTTGAGAGCTGAGAATAGGAGAATAGAAGCACTCGAATTAGAGAAGCAGTACGTCAGGGACACCCTTTTCCTTCTAATGGGTTTCCAAATTAGGCCTCCCAAGCTCAAGAATACCATGCAGACAGCATCTGTGTTAAAGGTTCAGGGTCCCGATCCATAAAGGAAAATCCACCCAGCTTCCACAGGACCTCGCTAGATCTCAGCCAATAAATCTGGCCAAGAGTGGCTTGTGCAAGGTCACAGAGAAGCTAGAAGGAAAAATGAAACTACAAATCAGAAATCTAGTGGGAAACAGAGCAGCACAGATTTCGGTTTGCAACTCGCTTCCAAAATCTTCCAGCTAGGGCTGGCCTGTGGCTCACTTGGTAGAGTGCGGTGCTGATAACACCAAGGCCACGGGTTCGGATCCGATATAGGGATGGCAGGTTTGCTCACTGGCTGAGCGTGGTGCTGACAACACCAAGCCAAGGATTGAGATCCCCTTACCGGTCATCTTTTATAAAAAAAAAAAAAAAAAGACGGACAAAATCTTCCAGCTAATGTCCCTCCAGTGGCCAGCTCCAAGTTCCCAGGTGGCTTGTTTACACTGAAAGGCTTGCTGGTCCCAGCCACCTGGTGTCCCTGTCAATAGGCCCTTAGGGAAGGTAACCTGATTTAATAGCCTAAAATCTACATTATGGGATCAAAGAAGTCTGCTGCAAGAAAAACCCATAAGCATTCTAAAATAAAACATCATGGCCGGCTGGATGGCTCAGTTGGTTAGACTGCTACCTTGTGGCACCAGGATCAAAGGTTTGGATCCTGGGACTGGCTGGCCACCATAAATAAAGCAGGCTCTATCTATAGAGAAAAGAGGTTGTTGGGTTGAGTAGTCTTTAAAGTTTTTTTTTTTTTTTTTTTAAAGATGACTGGTAAGGGGATCTCAACCCTTGACTTGGTGTTGTCAGCACCACGCTCAGCCAGTGAGCAAACCAGCCATCCCTATATAGGATCCGAACCCGTGGCCTTGGTGTTATCAGCACCGCACTCTACCGAGTGAGCCACGGGCCGGCCTAGAGTAGTCTTTAAAGTTATCTTCCCACTTTTTAGGCATCTTGTTGGGAAGTCATTCCTTCATTGAGTAACTGTGTGAAGTGTCTACTGTGTGACAGGTACTGTATGAGGTGCTGGGGACACAGGAATGAACAAAGCTGATAAACTGCTGTCCTAGTAGAGATAGGGGTGGGGGTGGCTACTGGAGACAGACAATAAACTAAAGATATATGTCTGGTGGTGGTAAATGCTATGGAGAAAAATAATGGAAGGAAGTTGCAGTGGATTGAATATCCCCCCCAAAACTCATTGAAGCTTAATCCCCACTGTAACAGTGTTGAGTGTGGGAAATCTTATTATGGTAACTGAAAGACGGGGCCTTTAAGGGGTGATCAGATTATGCGGACCAAGCCCTAGTGAATGGATTGATCCATTTATGGAGTAATAAATTGATGGCTTAATGGGTGGTAATAGGCATGATTCTGATGACTTTAGAAGGAGAGCAAATGAGAAGCTGAGCTCTCTCTTGCTCAGCCATTTCACTGTGTGATACCCTGCATCACTAGACAGTCACCACCAGAAAAAGGCCCCTCACCAGATGTATTCCCTGGACTTCGGACTTCCCATCCTCCAAAACCGTAAGCAATAAATATTGTTTCTTTACAAATTACCCAGTTTTGGGTATTTCTGTTATAAGCATCTGAAACAGACTAATACAGAAGGTGAGCAGGGAGTTCTGGGGGGTGGGGGGGGAGGGGATGTTGTAATTTTAAGTAGAGCAGTGAGAGAATGCCTGAGATCTTGGAATAAAGACCCAAAGAAGATGAGGAACCAAGCTATTGGGATATCTGGGGAAAGAGTGTTCTGAGCAGAAAGAAGAGCAAGGGCAAAGGCCTTGAGATGTGAGCATGACTGGAATTCTCAAGGACCAGTAAGGAGTTTGGAACAGAGTAGTTTTGGAGTAAGAGTGAGAGGAGATGAGGTCAGAGAGTTAGGGAGGTGGGCAGCTCCTCCCACGCCTTATAGGTTACTAAAATTAGTTTGGTTTCTGTAAGGAGGGACATGGAAATTTGGAGGGCTCTGAACAACGTATCATGACCTGCCTTCCATGTTAACAGGATCCCTCTGGCTGCTATGTAGAAAATAGACTAAAGGGCCGGCCTGTGACTCACTTGGGAGAGTGTGGTGCTGATAACACCAAGGCCACGGGTTCGGATCCCTATATAGGGATGGCCGGTTAGCTCACTTGGGAGAGTGTGGTGCTGACACACCAAGTCAAGAGTTAAGATCCCCTTAAGGTCATCTTTAAAATAAAAGAAAATAGACTAAAGGGCCGGCCTGTGACTCACTTGGGAGAGTGTGGTGCTGATAACACCAAGGCCACGGGTTCGGATCCCTATATAGGGATGGCCGGTTAGCTCACTTGGGAGAGTGTGGTGCTGACAACACCAAGTCAAGAGTTAAGATCCCCTTAAGGTCATCTTTAAAATAAAAGAAAATAGACTAAAGGTAGAAAGGGCAAAAATGGGATAGCCAGTTAGGAGGTTGTTGAAGTAATCCAATCACAGAAGGATGGTGCTTGTACCAGTGTGGCCACAGTAGAAACAGGAAATGTTGAATTGGGATGAGGGAAGAGAAGGAATAATGTATGAGGAATAGTTTTGATAGGAAGAGCAGGAGCTCTGTTTTGGGTAGGCTGAGTTTTCGATTCCTATCAGACAAGTGAGATGTGGAGTTGGGAATTGGATACATCAGTCTGGAGTTCAGGATAAAGGTTTTAGGGAAGAAGAGGAACAAATACACAGAACTATGGGCATTTTGACTTTACTTCTCAAACTGGGCTATTATTGGTGAGTCTTTCCCTTACCAGATAGTACTTTGAGGTAAACCATATTAAGGAACTAATTATTCTTGCCTTATCCTCAATCTTCTTAGGTAACAATAATTGCATCCCTTTATCACACTATGTGCCTGTCATGGTGCTGGCATTTCACTCAAGATTTCATTTAATCCTCACAATAACCATATGATATTATCCCCTTTCGTAGTTAAAGAAAACAAAACCCAGAAAGATTAAGTAATTTGCCACAGCTGGAAAGTGAAGATTGAGGAGATTCTAACCCAGGTCAGTCCTACAACAAGGTCATGCTCCTGACTACTTTTCCTTAACGTGATTATTGAGGGTTTTCAGAGGATGCATCTGAATTTTTTTTTCTCACATGGCTTCATAGTACTTTTAAGGTTTGTTCTTTTAACTGCCTAAGACCAAGAAGTAAGAGCTATATAGAAAAGCTGACCCAGATCCACATCCTCACCTGGAATGGGCAGTATTGGGTCCAGTAGGGTGAAATGGGTTTACTTTCAGGAACTAAATCCTCACAGGGGAGGATCCAGCAAAGACAAAGATGCTGTCCTGCCAATTTTTCCCTGTTGTTTTGGTCTCATTTGGGGCCATGGCTCTTCAGCATTCAGAGTAGGGTCTTGATCAAATGTAAAAATGAGAGACAGGGAACCAGGAGAGATTCAGATGATGCAAGACCATGGGTGAAATTTTCCAGCAGAGCAGGAAAACCAGCTGCCTTACCAAGTGCTGCAAAGTTATAATGGCAGGAAGGAAAACCTCTTCAAAATTTCCAGGGAAGGACTGGCTATTCTTATTATTAGTTCAGAATAGTTCACATTAGGTATCTTGTATTTGTATGAGGGGAAAACTGCTGAAGATGCTAAAAGATTCATTAAAAGATTTGCCCTGAGTCACACAAACAAGATGGCAACAGGGCTGGGAACATATCCCAGCCTCAAGAACACTTTAGCCACAACCTCACAGCACTTCAGATTCTGAAATTTCCACTAAAGCTATGAAAGAAAAGAAATCTGGGGAAGAACAAGAGGTCTAATTGTTACATTTGCTCTCATTACTGCTGTTGTGGAGGTGACTTCTGGGTCCATGAAAATCACAAGGCCAGACGAAACAGAAAGCTGAGGCTTTGAGGAGCCTGGAGGTGCAGGGCAGCATGTTGTGTTGGTAGCAAAGTCCAAGGTTCAAAGCAGCATTGTACTGGGCAGCAGATCCATCAAGAGACTGGTGTTTATTATTATTCCAAAACACCAAGATTTATTTGTTTGTAATTCTATCAGCAAAAATTTACCTATAGGAAAGCGTTGCTCCTATATTCAAATATAAGTGTATAACAGGAGGATTAAAGTAGAGTTTCAAATAACAACATTAAGATGTTTTAGTAAGTAGCCACAATGGTTTGCTATATGAGGGTGTCCTAGGCACAAGTCTTAGCCAGCAGCACATGGGATATATAACCACTTTCTTAACTAAGTAGGTGTAATACTTCCAGATGACAGTAGTACTATCCAATGGAGCTGATGCACTTAAAAGCAAGAGTGCGACTCTGGAAGAAACCCTGAGGTCAACATGGAGACTGGTTAGGTAGAAAACTAAATTTGTCTTGCAAGGAGATCAATTCTATGGGTTATAACTTCTGGTTAATGAAAAATAGCCAGGATATTTCTGTACCAACCAGAGAACATAAGGCTTTTTTTTTTTTTTTTTTTGGCATCTCTTTGATATAGGGATCTGAACCCTTGACCTCAATGTTACAATATTGCACTCTAACCAACTGAACTAAACGGCCAGCCCTGAGAATATAAAATCTTGGCTTAAACTCTTACAATGTAATAATGAAAACAAAACTTTATAAATGATGTTTGTCCTAAGGGAGGGAACATGGACTCCTGAGCTAGTGAGGAGGGAAAATGCTAAATGACCTATGGAGACCTGGAGAGGTTCCTCTTCCCTCCTCCTCACTTCAAGGAAGTGAATAGTTAAGGAATAGGGCATTTTCTTCCATGTTCTTACCTAGAACTGGGGGAGAAAGTTTCCCTTAAAGCATGTGCAAGGACTTGATAGCCCTATGCAAAGCCACCTCCAGTAAAAGGCCAAGCATTGTCACCATGTCAGTTACAGGCCAGTGTTGGGGGGACAGGCTCCAGGTGGCAGCTGAGAACAGGAGGAAAAACTCTGGGGCAACGCTCTTCCCTAACTCCAGTGTAGGGCTGAGCGGGGAACAGGACAATGCATTGGGGTTCTTGTTGGAGCGTCAGGGAGAGTCAGAGAAGTAATTTCATCCCAGAAGCTACTAAATGAGTTAATTGCTTCAGAGAAAACATGAGCAGTATTGTTGTCAATCCCCAATTTTGCTTCTTTAAACCGTTCTCTAAAAATAGTAGCCGTTTCGAAAAGCCTTATGTTTTCCTGTCCTTTTTATTACTTTGCATTTAGGAAATTATCAACAGTGATTCTTTGCCCTGGCAAATCACGTAGGGGCTTTCAAAATAATACTGATGCTTGGTCCTCCCTCCCTCAGTCCAATTAAATAAAAATCTCTCTCAACTCATAATCCAGAAATAAATAAATAAATAAAAAGAAAAAGAATCTTGGCCCGTTAATGACATTTATCCAGCCCCCCAAACTTGCACTGTCCTTCCACAATCGGTCGGGAAAACAACTCCAACGGCCCTTTCTCTCTTGAAGTAAACCTCTAAATCGGCTGGGACAGAGAGGCCGGAGACTCCAGGTCTGCGGTCCGCTCGAACTTTGGGCTCCGTGGAGGTGCCTGGGCTCCGGTACGCGGGAGAAGGCGGCGCCGGGTGAGGCAATCCCCGACCTGGGCCCCAGGCTCTGCTGGAACCGGGAGCCCGGAACCGCAAGCGGCCGTGCGCTACAGACTACATTTCCCACAATGCACGGTGGGACGGGACGGGGCGGGCCGAGCGGCTGAAGTCGGGGCTTGGCCGCCAGAGGCTGGCGAAGGCTGTCTTCCTGCGCCGGCGGCCGAGTCAGGGGCGGAGGGAGGGCGCGGTGCCAGTGCTGTGTCCATGTCTGTGTCCACAAGGGGCCGTGGCCCCGCGATCCTGCGCCCTCAGGTCAGGGCCGGCTGGATACCCGTACCCCTCCGGGGGTCCGGCAGAGGGCAGTGACCGGCACCCTCTATACGTCCTGGGCCCCCCAAGCAGGTGAGTCCGATTGCCAGCCCACGTGGCCTGGGGGCGCCGAGAGACTGGAGAGCTGTCATCCTTGGAGGGAGGGGCTTGAAGACTGGGGTCCCTGCCATCTACACTACGTTTGTGATTGGACGACTGGCCCCCAGAGGAGGAATACAAAAGGCGAGGCCTGAAACCCATCCTTTGGCCTGGGAGGGCCGAGGTCCCGTAGGGGGCGGTGGCCAGGTAGGACCCGCCCCCCAGCGGACACACATTTGGCCCGCGGCGTCACCTTAAAAAGCGACATAAGTGACAGTGGGGTGAGCGGGGCAGCTCCTGGAAGGGTCTTGGGCTTGAGACTTTGCTCTCATGGGTGCCCTGACTCAGATAGTTGTCTTAGCACAAGGGCTGCCCCTTGTACTGGGTGAACCACCCTCTCTGGTCTCGAGTTTGATGGGGGAGATTGAGCAGCCTTTGTCAGCGAGGGGAGTGGCCGCCAGAAGTGACAAGGACCACGCTATGCTCTCGGCATGGAGTAGACATCCTGCTGAAGCAGCCACAGCACAGTCTCACCTTGTCACTGTCACACATCCTGCATCCTGGTACCACCCTCCTAGATAGCCCACTCCCCAAAAGGTCAGGGTAGGGTGAAGCACTATCCAAGCAGGAAGAGGAAGCAAGAGTGGCAGGGAGCCAGTAGAGAGGGGCTCTTGCAAGGCCCTCCCCTCCTCCAGGGCCTGCTGAGGGAGGGAGGCACATTAGAAGGGCTGATTGAGCCAACCTGTGTAGTGACATTGCTCAGAAGCACAGCAGGGCACTTCTAGGAAAAGTAGCAAGCCCTTTACAGGGCTTCTAGAGAGGCTGACTAAGAAGGATCCCCTTAGGGGTATCTGGGCCTGGTTCTAAGAGACCTCCCTTGCCTAACTGCATCAGGCCTAGCCTCCCAAGAACTTCATCTACACAGATTATGGCTCCAGTGGGGGTTAAGGTGGGTTTTGCTGTGATTCAGTAAACCTCTGCCTGAGTTTCCAGGATAAGTATCCAGAGAGCTGTTTTGTTCATCAGGCTTTCTGGCTATTCACCCCAGACTGACCTTGGAAATGCTGAAATACTGCATGATTTCAGGTGGCAGGGGAACTGTTGTGAAGGAAATGTCCACTAGCCCAGGCCAACTGACCCTGGCCCCCTTGCAAGTACCATGCTAGATACCACTCAGCCACACTGGGTTCAGTCAGCTGAAACCCACAAGGAATTAGTGGAGAGTGGGCCTTCAAGATAGGGCTAAGCTGCTATAGACCTTGTTTGAGTCTTTGAGCCAGAAGTGCAAGGTCACAGAGCAGGGGCATGTGGCAGATCAAGAAGTTCAATTCAGGGGCCGAGGCCGTGGCACACTCGGGAGAGTGCGGCACTGGGAGCGCACCGGCGCTCCCGCCGCGGGTTCGGATCCTATATAGGGATGACCGGTGCGCTCACAGCGCTCACTGGCTGAGAGCGGTACGGCCGGTCTCAAAAAGGACAAAAAAAAAAAAAAGTTCAATTCAGGAGAGACTTCCAGAAGCAGCAGAGAGCCAATGGTCTGTTCCCGCAACTTGAGGTCCAGTGAACAGCCAATCAGTCTGGAAGAACTCCCAGACCTAGGCCCATAGACAGCTCTTTGGCCAGATATCACAGTTGGGTCACTTCAAGACAGAGCCCAACTGGCTTCAAATGGTCAGAAACATATTTGCTTGGGCCGTTCACCCAGGGTCTGGCTCAGGCTGAGCAAACTCTCAAAAAGGCCTGATTTACATAGCAGAGACCATTGAATTCAGGTGTAAGTGCAGTCACACATAGTCTGAATGCTAAGAAAGAATAATCATGGTGGGCTAATGACAGCAGCTTAGTATACCAGTTCCTACACTCTGCCAAGTCAACCAAATTACGTGGATTATCTCATTTAATCCTCCCACAACCCAATGAATCAGTAGCATCATTATTCCCATTTTATGGACATGAAAACAGATCTGTAAAACCAGGCCAGGCTAATCCAGGTCCCACTGACTGCAGAGCCATTGTTCCTGAACAACCAAGGACAAGTGTTCCCCAACAGGAAGGGGTTTCCAGAGGTCCCATCATAGGTGACAGAGCAGGGTTTTCTTTGCAGAACTTTCACTTTTTCACTTCCAAAGATGTTTATCTGGCAAATGTTGATTGAACTCCTCCTGCAAGTGGCACTGACACTCTGAAATTTGACCTTCAATACAGAGAAATAAAGCAGGGCAAGAGGGATACAGAGCACAGATATTGCAAGGCTCTCTGATAAGGTATCACTTGAGCAGCAACCTGAAGGAAGTGAGGGAGTGAGTCATGTAGGTGTCTAGCCCAGGCAGTAGAACAGGTGAGAGGGGTATGGGGGGTTGTTCAGCAAGGGCAAAGTTCTGAAGTGACGAGTACTCAGACTGCTTAAAGAAAGCCGTGAGGCCAGTGTGGCTCGGCTGAAATAGAGTTAGAGTGAGTGGGGAGAACAGGTAGGAGATGAAGCAAAGGAGTAATGGGGGCGTATATTGTGTGGGGCCTTGTGTGGCACTGTGAGGAAATTTGTTTTCTCACTTTCTCACCATTACAGAGTTGTGAGCTGAGGAATTACATGACCTGACTTCTGTTTCAAGAGGATTACTGTGAGTGCTGTGAGAAGGACAGACTATGCAGGAGCAAGGGCAGAAGTAGGGAAACTGGTTAGGAGACTGTTGCAACAATCTCCTAGAGAGATAAATGGTGGCTTGGACCAATGTGGTAGTCATGGAAGTGGTCAGATTCTGTATATAGGCATTTCCCACTTAGCATCGGTAATCTCTTCTGTGAAAATTAGACATTCTGTCTAGAATCGCTAACTTAGTGTCTATTTCCCATTATTTTAAATGGGAAAAAGTATAATGGTTTTCTTTTTAAGCCCAAACCACTAATTTTCTAAACTGGTACTAAAACACAAGGAAAACATATATCTAACATATGCTTAATAAATTATTGTATTAGGATATAAAATGCTTAAAACAGTCCCTCCTGATCATCAAACAATGTTTGTTGCTTTTACAGTATCATGGCCTCTTTTAGTATCTACAACAGCCATGATGCAAGTAAGCCCCCTTTGCTGGCACTCAATGATTTTCTATCAATTCTATTTGAAATGTAATTTGAGGATTTTATTTATTTGTTTGTTTGTTTGTTTGTTTGTTTATTCATTCATTTATTCATTTTTAAAGGTGACCGATAAGGGGATCTTAACCCTTGACTTGATGTTGTCAGCACCACACTCTCCCAAGTGAGCTAACTGGCCATCCCTATATAGGGATCCAAACCTGTGGCCTTGGTGTTATCAACAGCACACTCTCCCAAGTGAGCCATGGGCTGGCCCTTAATTTGAGGATTTAAATGCATATTACTTTGTTAAAAATATAGACCAAGTTTTGATGATGTAAATATACACTTTTTCTATATAAACATAAGCAGAATCATTACATGTTTGGCATATTAGTTATCTATTGCTATGTAACAAATTATCCCAAAATTTAGTAGCTTAAAACAACAATATTTATTATCTCATACAGTTCCTGTGGATCAGAAATTTGGGAGCAACTTAGCTGGATGGTTCAGTCTCAGGATCTTTTATAAGGTTGCAGTCATCTGAAGGTTTGACTGGGCCTAGACGATTTGCTTCCAGATGGCTCACTCACATGACTGGCAACTTCGTAGTAGCTGTTTACAAGAGGTCTCAGTTCTTTGCTGTGAAGTGCTCTCCATAAGTCCACTTAAGCCACAACATGGCTGATGGCTTTCTCTTGGAGAGAATGATCCGAGAGAACAACGAAGAAGCTACAATGTCTTTTATGATCTAGCCTCAGAAGTCACACATCGTTTTTTTCACAGTATTCTATTGGTTATGTAGGTCAACCCCACTCAGTGTGGGAGGGGAGTACACAAAGGCTTGAATACCAGGAATTAAGGATCACTAGAGACCATCTTGAAGGCTGGCTACTATAGTGAGATACTAAAAACCAAAAGTCATTCTATTGGGAAAATGTTAAGTAGAGAGACATTTTATGAGATGTACCCATATTCTGAAGTACAACTGACAGGATTTGCTGATGGTTTGGTATATGAGGTGAGTAGAAAAAGAGAGACATAGGGGATGCTCCAAGGTTTTTTAATGAACAACTGAAAGGATGAAGTTGTCTTTCACTGAGATGGTGAAAACTCTGGAAGGAGCAGCTTTTTTTTTAAGGGGATGATCAGGAGTTCAGTTTGGGGCATATAACCTTGAGATAACATCAAGTAGACAGTTAAATATGTGAGCCTCTGGAAGTCAGAAGAGAGCTTGGGGCTGGAAATGAAAATTAGAATCATTAATACATAGATGGAATTTATTTTTTATTTATTTATTTATTTATTTTTAAAAGATGACCGGTAAGGGGATCTTAACCCTTGACTTGGTGTTGTCAGCACCATGCTCACCCGATGAGCTAACCGGCCATCCCTATATGGGATCCGAACCCGGGGCCTTGGTGTTATCAGCACCACACTCTCCCGAGTGAGCCACGGGCCGGCCCATAGATGGAATTTAAAACCATGAGAATGAATGAGATCACCAAAGGATAGTGAAGACAGAGAAGAGGTCTAAGGACTGATCTCTGGGCCCCTCCACTGTAAGAAGAACTGCAAAGAGAACTCAGAGTAGTCCATGAAGTTGGAGAACCAAAAAGGAGAATGGTGTACCAGAAGCCAAGAGGGCAAGGTGTTTCAAGAGAGAGGAAATAATCAACTGTATCTATTGCTGCTTATGGGTGAAGTGAGATGGCCCTGGACATCATTGGTGACCTTGATGGGAACAATGTTGGAATCATGGAGGCAAAAGTCTGTTTGGAATGGGTTTAAGAGAGAATGGGAGAAGAAGTGGAGAGGCTGTGCTGGATATGCTGCTTACCAGATATCCATGAGTCCCCACATTTCCCAGCCCTTCCAACCCCCAGGGCCAATCTGGGCTCTGAAGTATCTAAGAACTGGTACATGATCCACCAGCTCTGTCCTCCTCTGCCAGGTGATGTAGAAGGCATGTGTTTCAAATGGCAGAGCTATATGATGCTAGTAGCCTGGATTCCTGAATCACTGCTTGGAAGGGATCTTCTCTGAACTGCTACTAGACCCATGGTAGATTTTGTGTGAGCAAAAAATAAGCCTTTATAAAACCTCTAGCTTTTTGGCATTCATCTGTTACACAGCATAGCCTAGCCTACCTGACTAATACAAACTCCAAATATTACTTACTGTTTTGAGAGGGCTTGTCTGTTTTTTATAAAGTGCAGGAGAAAAATGAGGTAGCTAGAGGAGAATGCAGAAGTTAAGGGAAGGTTTTTTGTTTTTGTTTTGTTTTTAGCAGCTAGCCTGTACGGGGATCTGAACCCTTTTTTTTTTTTTTTGGTCTTTTGTCTTTTTCCGTGTCCGGCAATGGATCGCAACCCTCAGTGTTGCCCCCGTACCGGACCGGGGACCGGCAACGGGATCGCAACCCTCGGTGTTGCTCCCGCGCCTCGCTCAGCCAGTGAGCGGGAACCGGTCTGTATGTGGGATCCAAACCCTCGGGCGGGAGCACCCGCCGCGCTTCCCAAGCGGCGCACTTATCCAGTGCGCCACCGGGCCGGCCCCATGGGGATCTGAACCCTTGACCTTGGTGTTATATCACCATGCTCCAACCAGCTGAGTTAACCAGCCAACGCTGTTTTACCTTTTTAATTGAAGTAAAACAAATATACAGAAAAATTCACAAATCGTAAGTACAGCTCAGTGAATTATCATAAAGTGAACATACCCAAGAGAGGATGTTTTGAAAATGGAAGAAACATTAGGGCCAGCCTGTGGCTCACTTGGGAGAGTGTGGTGCTGATAACACCAAGGCCATGGGTTCGGATCCCTATATAGGGATGGTCGGTTTGCTCACTTGGGAGAGCGTGGTGCTGACAACACAAAATCAAGGGTTAAGATCCCCTTACTAATCATCTTTAAAAAAAGAACAAAGAAAGAAAATGGAAGAAATATCAGCATATTGGTGATAGAAAGGGGAGAAGGAGAAACTGATGATCCAAGAGAGAGAGGGACAGCTGCTGAAGCCATGTGTTTGAGTAGGCAGGAAGGGCTGGAATCTGGTGCACTTGTGGAGTAGTTAGTCTCAGTGGAGCATGAACAGGTCATCTTTAGTAAGAAGAAGGAAGGCGGAGTCTAGCAGATGGGGCAAGGTGGTCATGGGAATCTATGGAAGTTCTCCTCTGATGACTTCTGTCTTAGTGAAATGGAAGGCAACATCATCTGCTGATAGAGCTGAGAGTGAGCATGAGGAGGGAAGGTGATGATGGAAGTTTGAGTAGAAAAGAGGTGTGAAGTTGTTGACTAGGGGAGTGGGAAAGTGAATAGACATAGAAATGTGGGACATTCCTTTTTTTTTTTTTCTTTTTTTTTGTGGCTGGCCAGTATAAGAATCAAACCCCGGATCTTGGTGTTATCAGCACCATGCTCTAACCAGCTGAGCTAACCATCCAACTTTGTCTTCCTTTTATACTCAGAAAAGGAAAAAGATACTTAATTGTTTAGAAGGGAATACTCAGAACCCTTTCCCCAGGGATTTGAGTTAGTGGGGTCCTGGTAAGGGACACTTTACTTACCACTATTAATTATGCCAGTGAGCCTGCTGATAGCACCTTCCCCCTCACCCTCGACAATGCCTTTGTTTGTCCCACAGGAGAGCCCAAAGGATGGCTGCTGACATGCAGGGGAAGAGAAGCAGCGAATGCCCTGATGGTACATTGGTTCCTTCTGATGGTCAGAATGTGGAGAGAGCTGAGAGCCCCACACCAGGACTGGCCCAGGGAATGGAGCCAGGTATGGGCAGACAGTGCAGGCACAGCCAGCAAACAGCTGGAGCAGCCTCTGTGGGGAATCAGGATTCCTAACTGCTCTTCCTTCCCACTCATTCATGCATTCGTTCAGTCACTCATTGGATATTAGTCAGGTGCTAGGGTACTACAGGGAGCTGGGCTCAGTCTGCATCTGGCCTTCCTCTCCACTTCATGTGCCTCTCGCTCTGTGCTCTCTGGCTGACACTCTGAGCTCTCTTCCTGTTCCCTGTGCACCTCTCTGGCTCCTTCTCCCCTCCTCAGCTCTCAGCTTAAATGTCACCTCTTCACAAGTTAGGCCTTCTCTGGCCACTCTCTGTATAGGATACTATATTTTGTAATTTTATTTGTTTATGTATGTATTGCCCATCTCTCTCTTCCACAAGATTGTGAGCTCTGAGCACAGGGCAGTTTTATCCCCAATGCCTGGTACAAGGCTAAATTCATAATAGAGACTCAAAAATATATCTGTTAAACTATTTTGTCAAAAACAAACAAAAAACAGATACAGAAGACTGACGTGGTCCCTGCTCTGGGGGAGCCACATACTAGTGGAGCCATTATAATGGAGTCAGTCAGGAGCTGTGGCCCGAGTCGGGTAGGAGAGCCTTCTCCCAGGGAGAGAGATTAACTAAGTATGGGAGCTTCTCTATGCACAGGGCAAGGTGCTCGGCACAGAGCAGTGAACGACCAGCTTCCTGCCCTTGGGGGTTACCATGGTAGTTGGGGAGAAGGACAGTAACTAGCAAGTGCCACAAGGGAAATCAAAGAGGGAGATATGATAGAGTGCCTGGGGTTGGAGGTCAGGTGAAGAGGTTACTAACTTCTTCCCTAAGAGCTGAAGTGTGACAAGGTAGTGACAAGCAGCTACACTGTGGGGAGGTAGGAGTGCCTTCCATGCCGATAGCAGGTGTGGCACTCCTGAGGTGGATGGGGCTGTACTGAAAGTGTCCAAAGAGCAAATGGATTAAGGCATGACTGCAATTAAGGCCTTTGAGATGGGAGTGAGAGAGGTAGGCAGATAACACCACTGCCCATGAGGGGTTTGGGTCTTTTTCCCAGAGTCATGGGAGGAGACTGGTAGACTGTAAGTTGCAGAGAAGCATGAGCCCAGCATGACTGCAATTAAGGCCTTTGAGATGGGAGTGAGAGAGGTAGGCAGATAACACCACTGCCCATGAGTCTTTTTCCCAGAGTCATGGGAGGAGACTGGTAGACTGTAAGTTGCAGAGAAGCATGAGCCATGGCAGAGTGGCTTTGCCCCATTGGGACAGGCAGTCATGTTAGAGTGACCATGTTACGCACCTTGCTGGTGAGAGCAGCTACCCCTTTAAGCACCAGTGCTTTTGGCCTGCAGGTGCTGGGCAGGAGGGTGCCATGTTCGTCCATGCCCGTTCCTACGAGGACCTGACTGAGTCAGAGGATGGGGCAGCTTCTGCGGACAGCCCCAAGGAGGGTGCTGGGGGTCCCCCGCCGCTGCCTGCAGACATGCGCCAGATCAGCCAGGACTTTAGTGAGCTAAGCACCCAGCTGACAGGTGTGGCCCGTGACCTGCAGGAGGAGATGCTGCCAGGAAGCTCTGAGGACTGGCTGGAACCTACAGGGGCAGCTGGGCGACCAGCCACAGAGCCCCCCAGAGAGGGCACAACCAAGGGAGATGAGGAGGATGCCACGGAGGCATGGCGCCTGCACCAGAAGCATGTTTTCGTGCTGAGTGAGGCAGGGAAGCCCGTGTACTCCCGCTATGGGTCTGAGGAGGCACTTACCAGTACTATGGGTGTTATGGTAGCCCTGGTGTCCTTCCTGGAGGCAGACAAGAACGCCATCCGCTCCATCCATGCAGGTGAGCCACCTGGAGATGGGTGTGGGGAGGGGGTCCCCTGGTCAGGGTTAATTCATAGCAGGTTTTGGAGCCCCCCCTCCAGACTAGGGGTCTGGGATGTACCGTGTGACTGAGGGTAAGTCTTTCTACTTCTCTAGGCCTCAAGGTTCTCACCTAAACACATGATGACAACACTGCCAGCTTCGTAGGGCTGTGGTGAGAGCCAAAGGCGGCTCTGACATAGGCTTTACTATTGGACAAAGTGAGAATCTCCCTTGGGAGGTGACCAAAAATATCCCACTTCCGGAGCCCCACCTGGCCCTTTCCAGTTGACTTAGCACTTAGCATAAAAATATGTGTTTTTCTAAAGAGTTTCCCAGGTTTCAAAGGAAGCCAATCTGTGAAGCAAGAGGCAGAAAGACCTTGAGCCCTCAGGAAAAGGGGCCAATGGGGTATCGTTTTTATCCTCAACATCCTTAAGCCCGTACTGTGCGCAGAGCTTTGAGGGAGGAAAGGAAGTGGCAAGTGAAGGGCTGCGCAGGAAGGCAGGGCTCCGAGGGAGCTGGGAAAACCAAGCCGGGAGGGTTACTCGGAGAGGGGCTGGGGCTGACACCCCTCCCCCCACCGTCAGATGGCTACAAGGTTGTATTTGTGCGCCGAAGCCCACTGGTGTTAGTAGCAGTGGCCCGCACGCGGCAGTCAGCACAGGAGCTGGCGCAGGAGCTGCTCTACATCTACTACCAGATCCTGAGCCTTCTCACTGGTGCACAGCTGAGCCACATTTTCCAGCAGAAGCAGAACTACGATCTGCGGCGCCTGCTCTCAGGCTCGGAGCGCATCACCGACAACCTGCTGCAGCTCATGGCACGAGACCCCAGCTTCCTGATGGGGGCAGCGCGGTGCCTGCCCCTGACGGCGGCAGTGCGCGACGCAGTGAGTGCCAGCTTGCAGCAGGCGCGTGCGCGCAGCCTGGTCTTCTCCATCCTGCTAGCCCGCAACCAGCTCGTGGCGCTTGTGCGCCGCAAGGACCAATTTCTGCACCCTATCGACCTGCACCTGCTCTTCAACCTCATTAGTTCCTCCTCATCCTTCCGCGAAGGTGAGGCCTGGACACCCGTGTGCCTGCCCAAATTCAACGCTGCTGGCTTCTTCCACGCACACATCTCTTACCTGGAACCTGACACCGACCTCTGTCTGCTTCTTGTCTCCACCGACCGCGAGGATTTCTTTGCCGTCTCTGACTGCCGTCGCCGCTTCCAGGAGCGCCTTCGCAAGCGTGGAGCCCACCTGGCACTGCGGGAAGCACTACGCACGCCCTGCTACAGCGTTGCCCAAGTGGGCATTCCTGACCTGCGCCACTTCCTCTATAAATCAAAGAGCTCGGGCCTCTTCACCAGGTGAGGGAGGGCCTTGAGGGCACTGCTTCAGAGAGACAGGTTCGTGGGGTGGGAGGAGGCTGGTTGGTCCTGAGCCCTGGGATGCAGCCCTGAAGCTGACCACCCCCTCTGGGAGTGGACCACCTGGGTGTGTTTTACTATGGCACCAGGGACCCAGACTACCCATCACCCCACGATCATATACCTCTCTATTTCATTACCCAGAAGGCTTCGAAATGCCCAATATACTCAGGGAAGGAAGATGGAATAGAGGTCTCCTGGGTCCCTTGCCCTGGAGCAACTCTGACTTGGGAGTCATTTTGGTCCAGCCCAGGAGATGGAACCCTCCTCCACCCACTCTCCCAAAGGAGGGGCTGGGCAGATAGGGCAGATTCTGTCTTCCCTTTACCTCCTTTTGGCCCAGAGAGTTCCCAGCTCACCTCCCCTCTACTCCAGACCTGCCACTCTGTCTTGGACACCTAAATTCAGGTTATCCTCTCCAAGGAAGGGTCACCAAAGACACTGAACTTGGTGGGTGGGAAGGGACAGGATTCCAATCTGGGTGGGCCCAGCCCTGTCCTTAGGAGCCTTCTGTGGTGGGGAGAAAATGTCCTGTCCTAGGGAAACATCCAGAGAGTAGGACACATGGTGGAGTCTCCCTAGCTAGGAATAGGTGTTTCTAGATCTCCAGAGAAGGTGGTAGAAGTCATTCTTTTGTGAACTCACTCTCCCATCTGTAGCCCTGAGATTGAGGCCCCATACACCAGTGAAGAGGAGCAGGAGCGGCTACTGGGTCTCTATCAGTACCTGCACAGCCGTGCCCACAATGCCTCCCGCCCACTCAAGACCATCTACTACACGGGCCCCAATGAGAACCTCCTGGCCTGGGTAAGGTGGCCCTGGGATGGGATGGGCTTCATGGAGATCCTGGGGAGGGGCCAAGAGGGGCATCTAACCTAGTTGACTACCCTTTGCCCCCTCCTGCAGGTGACAGGCGCCTTTGAGCTCTACATGTGCTACAGCCCCCTGGGGACCAAGGCATCAGCTGTCACTGCCATCCATAAGCTGATGCGCTGGATCCGCAAGGAGGAAGACCGCCTCTTCATCCTCACACCCCTCACCTATTAATGGAAATGTGGACAGACTCAGCCCTCCTAGGCCCACTAGGCGTGGGAAGCCATGGGAGTCTCCACGTGGGGCTGGCCTCTCTCGCCCAGCCAGCAGACAAGGACTGTGGGTTGGTGCATACATTAAAGTGCTTTGAGGAAGACACTTGTCAAGCACAGTCATTGGTTCCTTCACCCATTCACTCTCACTCACAGACAAACACAGTCGTCTTCCCTAGCCCCTGCACATGCTTTACCATATACAGGGGCACTTGCACATTTGAGCCCTTCCTCCCCCTCCCTTGCACCAGTATCAGGCCACACTCTGTTCAGAGTTGGGCCTTGGGCTGGGGCTGTTTTGGTCCAACTGAAGTCCTACCATATGTAAAGGGTTCTCAGGTACCCTACTTCTCTTTCCCCTCCTGTTCCACCCAAATACTCAATCTGAGCCCCTGGTGCCTGCATCCCCATTCACTCCTCTGTGGTGCCCCCAGGTGCATGTCCCAAAGGGCCACCCAACTACCTTGAGAGCCCTGGCTGTGGCTCTGCTTAATGGGCTGCTATAGTTCAGCAGGGGCTGAGCTGAGTAAGACAGGGATGGTCAAAGTGGAGAGAGTCTGAGTCCTGGTAAGTGTGGGGCCCCTGGTGAGACAGCCAGGTGTTCAGCCCAGTGTCCTGCATAGACAAATTCAGAGTCCAGTGTCCCTGTGGTCACAGGCCTCTGAAGCCTTCCTATGAAGGGCTATCTGTTTCAGCTCCCCTCCCTCAGCTACTGCATTCCTCAGAATGGCCCACAAGAGTGAGCTGGAGGGTGAGCCCAGTTAAACTGTCAGGCAGGAGTGGACCTGCCCTAATAAGGGCTAATGCCACTAGGTACACTGGGCCTTCAGTCATCCTGTTCCCTGGCATGGCATGGCCAGACCAGCATGGGGCACCATGGACATCCCAGGAGGCTTGGCAATGAAGGCCCAGCCCTATTCACTCTATCATGTGACCCTCATGGGGCAGAGCCCAGGGCACAGCTTGCTTGCTGCTGGAGGACTCTTCTCAGTTCTGCTATAACTTAACTCTCATTGGCCGGGGGAGCAAAAGGCCTAGTAAATGTTTATGGGAGAAAACTGTCCACTGATTGTGGTCTTCAGGCTGTCTGAGAAAATCACCCTCATGTAGTATCTGAGAGTTGGGCCAAGATTTTCTGCCACTAAAACCAACCCATGTTGGAGAATGTGTCATGTGGGCATGGAACCAGGTTCCAAAGCCTTTGGGAAGCAGCTGTTGGCTTGGTGACTGCTGCTCACCCTGCACATATGCCCCGGGTCTCTTTTCTGCCTGTTTTCTGCTTCTGTTCCTGCCCTTGCTTCTGGTCATGACACCAAACCACTGCCTCTGGGGCCATGGTGATGCCAGGCCAGCTGTCCCTGACTATTGCTGGTGTTCTTGTCGACAGTCAGCCCTAGGCACCTAGGAGTGCAGGGTTTACCTGTTTGGGGATCAGGGGTGGATGACAGGCAGATGGGGATGGTGTTCCTAGTGGAGAAACCAGCAAGTGCAAAGGGAAGGACCAATTATAACTGGTTTACAATGAAGCTGGAGGAGTCTACAAGGCCTGGGGTTCTCAAACTTCAGGTAAAAATCTGGCAGTAGGGAGCCATTGAAATTTTGAAGATGTAGTGTGATGTGGTCATATTGCAGTTAGAGATACCCCTCTCCTCCACTGCCACTAAGGTGATCTCTGGGATGGAGAAAGGGGCTGGGCCTAGTCCTCTGGAGCAGTGTTCAGAGGGAACTGAGAGTCAAAGAAATGCAGAGTTACTAGTATTCCTTCAAGGCAACAGATGCCAGGGTAGTTGGCATGTCCTAAGCCAGCTCTGGGTCATGCCTGGTGAGTTTACCTTGGGGGAGTGCTTGTACTTGGCACTGCAGGGGCCCATTAGTTGACCTCCCCCATACACCTTGCCTGCCCCCTCCTGCAGAGCCTGCAGATGGGGGAAGAAGGAAGGCGTGGTCCTGTGGATCCCTGCTCTTGAGGACCAAGGCTGCCTCCTGAGAGGTGGCGATGTCCTGGGGGTAGTCATCAGCATGGCCACACAGTGGCAGTAGAGTACCAACTGAAGGCTGCTTCACTCCCCACCCCAAAAACAGGTGGGCGGGGAGATGTAAGAGGGATTGTGAAGTCTCCAACCCCCAGAAATCTCTCCAAACATCTGGAGGCAGGATGGGGGTCATGTGAACCCCTGTCTGGGCGCCAGGCGGAGAATGTTTCATTTCATTTTTTGCCATATGTGACTGTCTTTAGACATGTTGATCGTGTACCTCAGGAACAGCACCATGGTTTTTGTTGGGTGTTTATTCATTTCTGGGTCAATTCTTTTTGTTTGTTTGTTTGTTTTTTTTAAAGATGACCGGTAAGGGGATCTTAACCCTTGATTTGGTGTTGTCAGCACCACGCTCACCCAGTGAGCAACCGGCCATCCCTATGTGGGATCCGAACCCGTGGCCTTGGTGTTATCAGCACCGCACTCTCCCGAGTGAGCCACGGGCCGGTCCTTGTTTGTTTTTTTGATTTTACAATCTGGTCACATACCTTTCATATACTATCTTCACCATTTAAGATTCCTGGGACTATGTACAGTGACACTGTATCCCTGTACTGCTGACACGATATTACAGACAATTCCAAGCCAGTTTGGAAGAACTGATTCTGGGGAAGAAAGTGTCTTTTATGTTGCCTTGGGTGCAGTACCCTCCCTTCAAAAAGTGTGGCCGCCCCATGTTCCATTTCCTCTCTCTGTCACCAGGTGCTCTTGGAGCTCCAGCCTAGAAGGAAGGGAGTCCTGCACTGGGGATGGAGGAAGAGGGGAGTGTCCAGAGTGAACTGTGATGGGGTGGGTGTAGCACAGGGTCTGTGGGACCCAGGAGAGTTGCCTGGTACAGTCTGGGTCATGAAGGCTTCCTGGAGGAGATGCCATCTAAGCTGCAAGAGGAGGAAAGGGGAAAGTTGTTCCTAGGATGAGGAACAGTATTTACAAAGGTCAGGATAGGAAGGGGATGCAGGCACAGAAGTATGGACTGGGTAGTGTCGGGCCTCCCTGAGACAGAGGCCGACAAAACCGAGCGGGAAGAGACCCCGGTCCAGCCGGGGGTCCCTTGTGGGGCTGAGCGGGATGATGAGTGTCACTGGCACGGCCCTTCCCCCCCAAGACCTTCCTCCCTGGGGGCCGAGAAAGAACACCACCGAGCCAGGAGAGTGGTCAAAGCCGGAACTCCGTTTATTGAGAGGGGACAGGAGCTTATATAGAGAGGACAGGGTGGGGGAGCCGTCACCCAATCAGGGGCGGCCACGCCGCGGAGGGACGGGAGAAAGTAGGGCGGGAAAAAAGTGCAGAGTCATAGAACCCCGGAAAAGGGAGTAGTTAGGTACGTGCTCTTTGGCCCACATGAAATGGCGGCTGCGAGCTTGCGGCTCGCACGCAACATGGCTGCCGCCCTGCCCCCGCCAAGAAACAGACATTAGATATGGGAAAATCCCTTATGGCGAAAATGCACCGTAATATGGCCCAACAGGGTAGGGGAGTGGAGGAGATACAGCTCCCCAGGCCAGGCTGAATCCTCTCAGGATGAGAGCTCCAATCTCCCCCAGCACCCCTTATCCTCTGCAGTCCTAGGACTCACAGTTCACAGCCCATGGCCATCCTTTGAAGCTTTCCCTCCCTCCAGTGTTCAGGCCAACCTGGCTGAGGGGGCTGTCAGGCTAAGGTTGTCCTCCAGGGCCTCACTGCAGTGTTGGGGAGGATCAGTTGCCAAGTGGCAGCTGCTGAGGTTCAGGTGAGGAAAATGGCAAAACTAGGCTTCAGCCACCCACCCATAAACAGACTGAAGACAGAACTCTGGACAAGCTCCTAACCAGAACTACATTCTCATTTCAGTGACCGAGTCCCAACAAGGGTCACAAGAGCAGGTTAGAGATGTCTGTGAGCCAAAGCCCATGTTTCCGCCATATCAGAGGTGCTCTGTAGCAGGGCCAGGAAGGAAGGGGGGTCCTTCCTGAGGCCAGTATTGTGGTTTTACCCCCATCATACAGCTTCTGTATACTGAGGCTGCAGTGGAAGGACCAGAGCTAGGGTTGGGCCTCCACATAAGCTGCCTCTCTGACTCTGACCCTTATGGCCCTGGGCAGGCAGGTCACAACACACCTTCTGATACCATCTTGTCACTGACAGATCAGGACAGATGCTTGGAAGGATAGTCCTTGCCCACAGGGTGGTGCGTCATACAATCCCTTGCTAGAGTTCCCCATATCTCTCCTCTGGTCTTCCATACACTCCTGATCTCTGTTTCCCGCGTTGTGGGCTCCCCAGGTCAAGTATGGGAACCAGCATCTGAAGGTGTTGCTGTAGACTAGCTCAACCCAAGAAAGGATCCTTCGCTTCTCACTTGGACCCAGCCGGTTGCGGGGGAACGGGATCGGACGGCTCAGGCCAGCTCACGCCTGCTCACCTCCCTCCAGGCCCCTCCACCCACACCCACAGGCCTGAGGAAAAAAGGTGCCCAAGGGAAGGTGTAAGACTCAGGCTTCCAAGTGCCGGAAGAGTCTGAGGGACGGAGGGTCACGCCTTCAACACGGCCCCGCCCCCGCTCCGCCCCTCCCCCATAGCCCGGCCCCTCCCGCCGGGCCGGCGCACTCAGGTCGACTTTGCTTTAAGGGCCAGCTTGAAGCGGCAGCTGGGGCGGCAGGTGAGGCGCTGTTCCATTCCCTGCCCGTGTGTCCGGCGGCGTCAGGTGCTCAGACCCGAGGGCAGGCGAAGGGGTTGGGCTTCACAGGAACCCGGGGCGGGAGTCGGCCGCCTGGAGGCTCTCGGGACCACTGCTTAACGCTGGGCCCACCCTAGACCTCGATTCTGCTCTCAGCCAGGCCGAGGCTCGCAGGGATCCCCGAGGAGCCCCAGTTCGGCCTCGATGGAGCTCCTCCCGCCGCCGCTGCCGCAGTCCTCCCTGTTGCTGCTGCAGTTACTGCTACAGTCTGCGATGCCCGCAGCAAGCCGGGACTGGCAGTGCCCGCGCACTCCCTATGCGGCCTCCCGTAACTTTGACGTGAGGTATGTGGTGCCCAGCTATTCTGCTGGCGGCCCGGTACAGGCCATAGCGACGTACGAGGGCGGCAGGGATGGGAGTGCCGTGTTTGTGGCCACACGCAATCACCTGCACGTGCTTGGACCTGACCTGCAGACTGTTGAGAGCCTGACCACTGGCCCTGCCGGGGACTCTGGCTGCCAGACATGCGCAGCCTGTGGCCCGGGCCCACACGGCCCACCAGGCGACACAGATACGCTGGTGCTGGTGCTGGAGCCGGCGCTGCCCGCGCTGGTGAGCTGTGGAACGAGCCTGCTGGGCCGCTGCTTCCTGCATGAGCTGGAGCACCGTGGGACAGCCCTGCATCTGGCGGCGCCAGCGTGTCTCTTCTCGGCCCACCAAAATCAGCCGGAGGACTGCCCTGACTGTGTGGCCAGCCCACTGGGCACTCGCGTGACCGTGGTTGAGCAGGGCCAGGCCTCCTACTTCTACGTGGCGTCCTCCCTGGACTCAGCCGTGGCCGCAAGCTTCAGCCCACGTTCAGTATCCATCCGGCGCCTCAAGGCCGACATCTCAGGATTTGCCCCAGGCTTTGCAGCGCTGTCAGTGATGCCTGAGCATCTCGCCTCCTACCGTATCCAATACGTGCACAGCTTCCGCGCGGGAGCCTTTGTCTACTTCCTGACCGTGCAGCCGGCCAGCGTGACAGACGCTCCTGGTGCCCTGCACACGCGCCTGGCACGGCTCAGCGCCACTGAGACGGAACTGGACGATTACCGGGAGCTGGTCCTCGATTGCCGTTTTGCGCCTAAGCGCCGTCGTCGCGGGGCCCCAAAGGGCGGGCAGCCCTACCCAGTGCTGCGGGCAGCCCACTCAGCTCCTGTGGGCGCCCAACTGGCGGCTGAACTGAGCATTGCCGAAGGCCAGGAAGTGCTATTCGGGGTCTTCGCGGCTGGCGGGGAGGGCGGTTCCGGCGTGGGCCCCAATTCTGTCGTCTGTGCCTTTCCTATTGACCTGCTGGACACCCTAATCGATGAGGGTGTGGAGCGCTGTTGTGAGTCCCCAGTCCCTCCGGGCCTCCGGCGAGGCCTCGACTTCTTCCAGTCGCCTAGTTTTTGCCCCAATCCGGTGAGCAAAAAGAAGGGGCCCTTACCTGTGAGTACATGGCTGAATACAGGCAGCTTCCCTTACGTCACTGAAAGGGCCTGGGACGGGGAGGGCAGGCAGAGAGAAGCATTCTCTTTCACCTAATTCTTAAGTGCTCGGGGTGGTGTGAGAAATCAGCCAAAGACCACACTGGAGGCTCATCTCCCAGCCAGGCTGGCCCCTGTCACTGCCTCATTTTGCTCTTTCACCCTCCCACCCATTGTGGCCTCTGATTTTTTAGGTAGTTTCCCTGGTTATGTGAGAACAGGATTGCAACATAATTGTTTCTTTGCCAGTACAGCTCCCAAACTCTAGGTAGAATGATGGGATCCCCTTCTGTCTGCCCACCACCCATACCCTCAGGGACACACGTGAAAAAATAGATCCCTCCTCCCCCCCTCCCCCACGCAGAAATATACACACAGGCAGATGCTAACAGATTCACAGCTGCTTTCCAACAGTTTCATTTTCCCTGTGGGAGCATTTGTTTTGCTCTACTTTCTAAAAGGGGTGGGACAGGAGTTATCAAAGAATCTCCCCCTCCTTCCCCTACCCCAACCCATGCCAGGTTCCCAGGAGACTCCTGGATCTTGGAAGTCTGGGGGCTTGTTGGGGTGCTTGCATGGCCTGGGCTTCACTAACCCATTTTCCATAGGGTGATTGGGAAAGGGCCGAAGACATGATGGGAAAGCAGCTTGGCTCTACAAGGTACTGGGAACTTCATCCCAGTATTGTGCAAGCAACTACAAACATCTGGGGATGAGTAAGGGACTAGGAGGGGCTGGCTGGAACTGGTCCACCCCTGACTTTCTTCCACCATAGTTGAGGCCCGGCCCCAGACAGGAGGTCTTGCAGCCCATGCTAAATTGGGGACTCCTTCTAATAGACCCTACCCAAGTTCTCTCCAGCCACGGTATCAAGCAGCAGGAGTAGAAACAAACAGGATATTTCTTAAAATGCTACCCTGAGGACAAAACCAAAACTGATTCCTCAAAGCCACTGAAACAATCCCACCCAATATTATATTAGACCAAGGACATGGGTTGAATGGAGCATTGGATGAGTGGCCTTTCATCAAGCTGATCCACAGCCACTTTTTTGAGTCTCTGTCCACCCTGTGCCCCTGGCCCTGCTGTGACATTCTTGACTGACTCCTTTCCATCTCTCTCTCTTTTTTTTTTTTTCCTTTTTGTCTTTTTTACTGACCGGTAACGGGATCGCAACCCTTGGTGTCGTGCCTATACCGGGGACGGCAACGGGATCACAACCCTCGGTGTTGCGCCTGCACCGCGCTCAGCCAGTGAGCGGGAATATACCGGGGACGGCAACGGGATCACAACCCTCGGTGTTGCACCCGCACTGCGCTCAGCCAGTGAGCGGGAACCGGTCTCCACATGGGATCCGAACCCTCAGCGGGAGCGCCGCCACGCTCCCAAGCGGCGTACTCTCCAGTGCGCCACCGGGCCGGCCCATCTCTCTTTTTTTTTTGATGGCTGGCCAGTATAGGGATCCAAACCCTTGACCTTGGTGTTACAACACTGTGCTCTAACCAATTAAGCTAACCTAGCTCTTACTGATGCCCCAGAGGTGGAAGGAGAACTTACACTCAACGTGGGGTGCGGAATCTTCAGCCTTTCTCCCTCAGCTGACTATATCTGGGTTGAGAGGCCCTAGGGGTGGGGACTCTTTGTCTGCGCCTGGACAGCCCTGCCTGGCTCCCTGTCCTTCCCTTTGGGAAGTCAGAACCTCTCCCCAACTTGGCTAGTGGTCGGTGGGTCAGAAGACACCCAGCACGACTGGGCAGTGCCAGGCTCTGGGACCACTAATCTTGGGCCCTGCCCACAGGCTGGCCATGCCCCTGGGAGGTGTGTGAACCAGCCTGTACGGTGTTTGTCCAGTGACTGATCATGCAGCCACTGGAGCAGCACCCACAATGTGCTCATAGTGGTTGGCCTTAGGAAGCCTGAGAGACTCAAAGCTGGTGCCTGTCCTCCATGGATTCAGGTAGGGCGTGGATCCTCCATGGGGCACTGGACACTAAAGTCAAATGTCTTCAGGAGATGGGAACAGTTAGACAAGCCTGGGAATCCAGAGCTAAGGCCCTGGGATCTAGGGCCAAGCAGGCAGGGGTGTGGCCCTGGCTGGACTAGGCCCTCATTTCAGCCCTAGAGCCCCACCTGTCCCTGAGTCATGCTGAAAACACCTGGCAGACTTCGGGCTAGGGCCAAGCCCTTTTCCTGCCTCAAGTGAGGACAAAGTTCTGGTCCCCACCCACCAAGAATACAGATCCAGGGTGTGGGGTTTCCAGGCCCAGCTCTGCACCTGACCTTACTCCCAGGGCTCCTTATCAGAGCTGAGGTCTCTAGACTGGGTTAAGCCTATGTGGTCTGATAGAGGGTTCAGAAGCTCCTTCCTTGATGAGTGCCCTCAAGGCAAGGGAGAGTCCTCAGCACCTAGGGCTGGCTACTGAGCCTTCCCTGAACCTCACACCCAGTTCTGATAACTCAGATTCATACCCTGGCTTCCCAGTTTCCCAGAATCTTCCACAGTCCTGCCCTGGGGCATGAGTGCAACCCCTCAAACACCCCCTTGCTAAGAGCAGGGCAGAGGTTAGTGTCTTGCAGCCTCTAGGGCCTAGCCTGGCACCCAGGCCATAGGGCCTTGGTTTATCCCTTTTGTACTCTGAAAGAAGTGTAGGTAGCAGCTAGAGGTGCAGGAAGACCTTTGCAGTCTCAGGGAGAAGGACCATGTTACCATTCTTGTGCTGGTCAATTAACCTCAGAGTTCAGCCCCTTGTGTGAGTGGGGAAACTGAAGCCCAGAGGGGACAGGGTTTCCTACAGTGTACCCAGAGAAGCAGAGCAGAGCCAGCAGAGGGCAGGAGAGAGCTCTGCTTAAGAGCTCAGATTTCCAACCTGGCTTTTCCCTGAAGGGCTGAGGCCTTGAACAAGTGACCAGAGCTCTCTGAGCTTGTTTGCTCATCTGTAAAATGGGGATGGTGAGAGCATCCACTCTACAGGGCAGCTGTGAGGATGCAATGGAGTTGGGTCTGTAAGACTCAGAAACTCATTTTCAGAATGGACATGGGAAGGTAGGGCCAGGAGCAGGGGAAACCGGCCTTCCAGCATGGGTCTTCTTCCCTGCCCTTGCTACCTCTGAGAGCCCCATGGCGCAGGTTGGGGGCAGGTAACTAGCAGGCCCAGGGCCTTCTCCAGGCAGGCCAGGTGAGGAGCGGGAGTTTTGGGCCACTGTGGTCACTGACAAAGGCCCCAAGGGATCAATGCATGGGGCTGAACCTTGATGGCTTCCCTTCTCTGACTCTCCCCAGCCCATCCTGGAGGCCCCCAGCCCCAACACCAGCTGTCGCCACTTTCCTCTGCTGGTCAGCAGCAGCTTCTCACGTGTGGACTTATTCAATGGGCTGCTGGGACAGGTGCAGGTCACTGCACTGCATGTGACACGTCTTGATAATGTCACAGTGGCTCACATGGGCACAGCTGATGGGCGTATCCTGCAGGTAGGTTCCCGTCCCATTGGCCCTGGGTCCCTGTCTTCATCCCCACTTTGCTCACAGCTGACCTGTCCCAGGTGGAACTGGCCAGGTCACTCAACTACTTGCTGTATGTGTCCAACTTCTCGCTGGGCAGCAATGGGCAGCCTGTGCAGCGGGACATCAGTCGCCTTGGGGACCACCTACTTTTTGCCTCTGGGAACCAGGTGAGGTGGACAGAGGCAGGGCCTGGGGCCGGGGTTGTGGGAGCACAGCCTCTCCAACCAATCCAGGGAGGCATGGACACACAGTTCTCACCACCCTAGTCTACAACGGGATCAAGAGGGTCTGCCCACTCTCCCCTACTGCTACCCCTAAGCCACCTATCTGCCACCCCAAGGTCTTCCAGGTACCTATCCGGGGCCCTGGCTGCCACCACTTCCTCACCTGCAGGCATTGCCTGCGGGCACAGCGTTTCATGGGCTGTGGCTGGTGTGGAGGCATGTGCGGCCGGCAGGAGGAATGTCCTGGCTCCTGGCAACAGGATCACTGCCCACCTGAGCTTACCAAGGTATGGCTTCCCCCAGCAGGGAACAAGTAAGAGTAGTTAGCAAGTCTCGACCATGATCTTCCTCAGGACTGGGGTATCCTCAGTATCTACAAAGAGGACATTCTTGGCATTGGGGATGGCACATGCAAAGACTTGGAGGCAAGAAAGTGCTTGAATGAGGACTAACAAGTGACCCAGAATGGCTGGAGTATGGGCAGGCAAAGGGTATAGCAGAAAACTTTGGGGGAAGCAGCCTGAGACACAAGGACTCAGGCTGTTTCCCCACTTCAGTTCTACCCCCACAGTGGACCCCTAAGGGGCAGTATGAGACTGACTCTGTGTGGCTCCAACTTCTACCCGCATCCTCCTGGTCTGATGCCTGAGGGAACCCATCAGGTTACTGTGGGCCAAAGTCCCTGCCGGCTGCTGCCCAAGGATTCTTCGAACCTCAGGTACAACCTGGTCCCTGCCCACCCTATCCCTGATGAGGGCAACCAAGTAGTCCCTTCCCTGTGAGACCCTGTCCTCTGCTTATCAGAGGCAAGGGAGTATGGGGCAAGCTGCAGTGGCTCTGGCTGCTTTGTGTCTAGGGAGACGTCTGTTCTCATTTTGAGCCTGCACGTGCCCTGCCTGTCTGTTGAGTCATGGACCAGGCAAGGTTAGCCCTTGCCCTGCCAGATTCTGCCTGCCCTGGAGGAAGTCATGGGTGGAAAGATGCTATCCTCAGGCTCAGTTGAGCCCAGTGGCTTATGGTGGGCATGCAGCCAGGCCTGTATGATTCCCAGCTGACTTCAGGGGTTCCCTAATTCCCTAGCCCAGTTCCCCAGAAGGACTTCGTAGAGGAGCTTGAGTGTGAGCTGGAACCCTTGGGCACCCAGGCAGTGGGGCCTACCAACGTGAGCCTCACAGTGACTAACATGCCACCAGGCAGGCACTTCCGGGTAGATGGCACCTCTGTGCTGGGAGGCTTCTCTTTCATGGTAAGGCTACCTAACCCTATCTGTGCCCTTGGCCAGTGTGTGGTATGGGAAAGGAAGGGCTTAGAGTGGAGGCCCTGTTCCAGTTAAACCACCTTTGTCACCTTTTAGGAGCCAGTGCTGACAGCAGTGCAACCCCTCTTTGGCCCACGGGCAGGGGGCACCCTTCTCACCCTTGAAGGCCAGAGCCTTTCTGTAGGCACCAGCCGGGCTGTACTGGTCAATGGGACTGAATGCCTGCTGGAACGGTAAATGCTGGCAGGCAAGGAGATGTGAGGCCCAGGCCCCTCCCAAGGGACCCTGGGTGGGGACCTGGATCCTGTCAGGATGGAGGGAAGAAGGCTTAGTTACATGGTCAATGTGCAGAGCAGGTCTAGGAAGAAGGATCTGCTGTACCCTCTAGCCCAGAGGCAAGAGAATCTGTTCCCTCCCTGCCCTCTTGGAGGTCTTACTGGGACCACCCTATCTTCAGATTGACTCATGGAGTGTGAGAGTGTGGAAGAGATGACCAACAGAGGAATTGGGAGGGATCAGCAGGCCCCTGGAGGAGGTGGGCCTGGCAGTCTCAAAGGAGATATCCCTGAGCCCAATCCCTCACTCCTGCAGGGTCAGCGAGGGGCAGCTTTTATGTGTCACACCCCCTGGGGCTGCCACGGCCAGTGTTCCCCTCCGCCTGCAGGTGGGGGGTGCTGAGGTGCCTGGGTCCTGGACTTTTCACTATAGGGAAGACCCCATCTTGCTGGGCATTAACCCCAACTGCGGCTACACGTAAGTGCCACTTCTTTGCTCACACTGGCCTCTGAATAACAAGGGAGCCAGCCTTGGAGAGCACCCAAAGCTCACCACCCTCCCTTTTTCCACAGTGGCTCCCATGTCACCATCCATGGCCAGCATCTGACTTCAGTGTGGCATCTAGTGCTGTCATTCCATGATGGGCTTAGGGAGGTGGAGAAAAGGGTGAGCGGGTGATACCAGCTGTGGAAGTGGGCACTGGCCAAGACAGAGGAAGGCTAGACCAAACTCTTGAGCTCCAACCCTACCCCATACTTGGCTGAGGAGACTGGGGCAGCCACAGGTGGGACACCTGGCTAACTACTCCCATGTGGGTCCCAACAGTGTGAGGGGCAACTTCCGGAGCAGCATCAGTGCCGCCTGCCTGACTATGTGGTCCGAGACCCCCAGGGGTGGGTGACAGGTAGTCTACGTGCCCAGGGGGATGGAGCTGCTGGCTTCACACTGCCTGGTTTTCGCTTCCTACCACCACCCCGTCCACCAAGTACCAACCTAGCCCCACTAAAGCCTGAGGAGGCTGCCATTAAGTTTGAGGTAAGTGTGGGTGATGGTGGCAGGGGCAGTGGGGTATTAGGAGATGGGGGCCAGGCCACTGTCTGGTCCTCATGACCTTCTTTGCAGTATATTGGGCTGGGCGCTGTGGCTGACTGCGTGGATGTGAATGTGACTGTGGGTGGTGAGAGCTGCCAGCATGAGCTCCGGGGGGATGTGGTTGTGTGTCCCCTAACCCCCTCCCTGCAACTTGGCACGGATGGCGCCCCACTTCAGGTAAGCAGCCCAGCCAGCCCTCCATGGGAAACATGGGTCAAAGGCCCGCAGGCTGGGCCTGAGCTGCCACCTGCCTTCAGGTCTGCGTGGATGGTGGGTGTCACATCCTGGGTAGGGTGGTGCGGCCAGGCCCAGAGGGGACCCCACAGAGCATACTCCTTGGTGTCCTGCTGGCCTTGCTCGTGCTTGTGGCTGCACTGGCTGCCGCTCTGATCTTCAACTATTGGTGGCGAAGGAAGCAGCGAGGTGAGCTCTCCACTCCCACCCTGACTCAGCCCCTACTCCCCAAAATGGTATCTCCAACTCCCTACATCCTCTCTCTGTCCGGGCCTTAGGGGTCTCCCATACCTCCCTGATGGGAGGTCAACCCCTAGGAGCTTGGAGAAGCTGGCCACCAGGGGCTATCTTTCCACAGTCCTTTCTCCTGACCTGGATGACCTGGCTTCCCTGGACCAGACTGCTGGAGCCATGTCCTTGCCTATGCTCCACTCGGGCTCTGACTGCAGAAAAGGCATTGGTGAGATGGTGGAGGTGCTAGAAGCTAGGGCCACCGCCTCTCCCCACAAGCCCCTCATTCCTTCTCTCCCCACAGCACTTGCTGCCACTGATGGTCTGGATTCCACCACTTGGGTCCACAGAACATCCTCAGACAGCAGGGATGCATCCCATGTCCCACTGCTATGGACAGAATCCATCCAGTTCAGGGACCTGGACTCTGCACTCTTGGCTGAGGTCAAGGATGTGCTGATTCCCCATGAGCGGGTGGTCACCCACAGTAACCGCATCATTGGCAAAGGTATGGGGGCCAGGCCAGGCTGGGGCAGACATGGAGTCCTGAGATGACGTGGGCTCAAAGGACAGTTGAACCAGACTCTGCTCTGGACTTCTCACCAACCTGTGTGACCTTGGGTATACCACTTAACCTCTCTGAGGCTCCATTTGCTCATCTGTAAAATAGGTATTAGGAGAGTTCTACATGCAGTGGATTCTGGTGTAGATTAAGAGGGCATGGGAGGGCTGCAAGCTCTGCTGTCACGCTGCTTGTTTTTTTGTTTTTTTTTTTAAAGATGACTGGTAAGGTGATCTTAACCCTTGACTTGGTGTTGTCAGTACCATGCTCTCCCAAGGGTACTAACTGGCCATCCCTATACAGAGATCTGAACCCGTGGCCTTGGTGTTATCAGCACCACACTCTCCCAAGTGACCCACGGGCTGGCCCTCACACTGCTTGTTTTTAATGTCGGATTGGCCAGTTTGGTGCTCCGAGTTCTGGTTATCAATGAGAGGGTGTGATGCAAGCCTGGGAGCCCCTCTCACCATCTGCCTTGCACCAGGCCACTTTGGAATTGTCTACCATGGAGAATACATAGACCAGGCCCAGAATCGAATCCATTGTGCCATCAAGTCACTGAGTCGTAAGTGGGGCAGAGGCTGGGAGGGTCCTCGCTCCTGCTGTGCTACCACCTACTGAGTGACCCTGAGCAGGAGACCTTTCTTCTCCATTTTCCCACCTGACCCTTGTAAAGTGCCTCCCTGCCCCAGTCCTGACTCAAGCTGCTCTACAGGCATCACAGAGGTGCAGGAGGTGGAGGCCTTCCTGCGAGAGGGGCTGCTCATGCGTGGCCTGCACCACCCAAACGTGCTGGCTCTCATCGGTATCATGCTGCCCCCTGAGGGGCTGCCCCGTGTGCTGCTGCCCTATATGCGCCATGGAGACCTGCTCCAATTCATCCGCTCACCTCAGCGGGTGAGTGCTCAGCCGGCCCTGGGTGGGGGGGCTTGGGCAGCAGCTGGAGATGGAGCTGCTATGCCCTTGCCCACCAGTCCACTTGTGCCCCCAGAATCCTACCGTGAAGGACCTCATCAGCTTCGGCCTGCAGGTAGCCCGCGGCATGGAGTACCTGGCAGAGCAGAAGTTTGTGCACAGGGACCTGGCTGCTCGAAATTGCATGTGAGAGGCCAGAGTAGCTGGGGTAGAGCAAGGCGTCAGGGTACAAGGGTAGGCAGCTGCCCAAGGCCACCTTAGGGAAGGACCCACTCAAGCCTTTGCTGTGCAGCCCTAGGCATGTCTTCCCCTCTCTGGGCCTCAGTTTTTTTGTTTGCCCAGTGCAGGCTTGCACGGGACACTGTGGCTCTGAAATTCTATAAGGGCCTGGAACAGGTGGGTTCAGGGCCTGGTGGAGGGCCAGTCTTAAGTATGACCCCCTCTCCCAGGCTGGACGAGTCATTCACAGTCAAGGTGGCTGATTTTGGTCTGGCCCGTGGTGTTCTGGACAAGGAGTACTATAGTGTTCAACAGCACCGCCATGCTCGCCTACCTGTCAAGTGGATGGCACTGGAGAGCCTGCAGACCTACAGATTCACCACCAAGTCTGATGTGGTAAGGCCCACCTGCCCTAGAATCCATATGGCCTCGGTGCCCTAAAGCACTTGGCCTTGCCCATGCAGCTCTGGATGATCTGAGCCCAGGTAAGACCCAGACTAGGCAACCCCCACAGCCCATTTGCCCACCTCTTGGGCAGGTATAAGATGGAATCTGACACTCACCAGAGCAAGAGGAGGCTGTGAACTCATTGGCTACTCATAGACAATCCAGGGCTTGCCCAGTCCCAACTCTGGGCAGGCTGAGGTGGTGGGAGGAGACAGAGGGAAGACACTTGTGAGGTATTGAGAAATGGGCTCTGAATGGAGGGCGGAGTCCCATATTTCCAGCTGAAGGACTGTGGGAGGTAGGAGACCTGGGGGACTTCCCCAAATTTGGGGTGAGAGTTGAGTCCCCTTACCTTCCTCCCAACAGTGGTCATTTGGTGTGCTGTTGTGGGAATTGCTGACACGGGGTGCCCCACCATACCCCCACATCGACCCATTTGACATCACCCACTTCCTGGCCCAGGGTCGGCGCCTTCCCCAGCCTGAGTATTGCCCCAATTCTCTGTGAGTATGTGGAGGTGGTAGCGGGGAGGGAGAGCTGAGCCCCAGAGCCAAGGAGGGGGCAGGAGACAGAGTTCCTGCCTGGCTTTCTGACTGACCCTCTGGTTTACCAGGAAAGGGACTCTCTCTAGGCCTCAGTTTTCTTATCTGTGGACTGGTCCCACCCCCATGCAGGGGAGGACACTGAGAGGACCTCACAGTTTCCATGGTAACAGCATTTGTAACTCAGAGTCTGGGTTGAGGCCAGTGATTTCATTTCCCAGCACTCCTCTCCCCTCAGCCTGGCAAAGGGGGGCTGTTTTCCACATTTTCCACTCACTTAGCCACAAGGAAAGTTTCTATTAGCTCCCACAGCAGCCCCCTCTGCATCTCCAGATCAGGTTTTTTTCCCCACTGGATGGAGTTTCAGATTCCTTATTCCCAGATGGATGGCGGCAGCTGTGTTGTCATCAGTGTACCTGTGGGGTGGGTTTGGTGCCGAAGTTCAACTTCATAAGCAGCAGGCATACCTCAGCTGTGCCCAGGTCTGCATAGTTAGAACGGGAAGAACCAGGTCACATGCAAGAGTGGTTGATGACTCCTGTCTCAGGCTGTGCTTCAGAAAGGTTGTGAGTAGCCCTTTCTCACAGCCCTACCTGCCTGGGTTTGGTCTTTATTATTCTCCTCACTAATGCATCTGGCTTGAAGTAGGGGAAGTTAACTTCACTGCCTACCTGCATCCAGGTTGGGCTACCCGAAACAGACTCAGATGCAAATTTATGTGCAGGGGGTTTATTGGTAGCTTGAGGGTGAGTGAAGCAGAACTGAGCAGAGGGAGAAGTCGGGCTGTGATGCAGATGCAACAGAGGCTGCAGCCCGTCCCACGGGGACTGCTTGAGCTGGGATGGCCCTTCAGAATTTTCCAAAATTGAGACAAGGGGCCATGTCTTTGTACCAGGCATTAATTAGTCACTGGTCACAGGCTGCTTCTGAAGAGGGGGTGTGATCTTGGCAGAGGCAGTTCTCTTTTGCCTAGGGCAATTCCTAGGGAGGGCCTAAGCCAAGAGCCATTAGCAGGCAAGACTTCCAGACCTGAATGAAGGGGGATCTGGGTGGCACACCAGAGCATCCACACACTAGGGAAAGTCCCTTCTCCTTTCTGGGCCTCAGTTTCCTCATCTGTAAAGTGGGGATAATAACAGTAACACCCTCAGAAAGTCTGAGAATTGGGCTGTCCTGTTAGCTCAGTTGGTTAGAGCATGGCGTTATAACACCAAGGTCAAGGGTTTGGATCCCCGTACTAGCCAGCACCCCCCCCCCCGAAAAAAAATCTGGAAAACTGTTTGTAGGATACTTAGAGTATCATTTAAGGCACGGATGATATCCCTAAGGTATGCCCTAGGACCCACCAGGCAAACCTGGAGAACCTCTGCTTGGGCATCATGCTGTCACAAGTGCTGCCCCAACACTCCTGTTTCAGAGTGTTAACACCCATTTCAGTGGACCCAGGCTTCCTTCCTGGAAGATGTGTGATGATAACCATGATAGCTTGTGAGCTGGGCTCTGTACTAAGCACTTCACAGGCATCTTCTCACCCTAAGCTCCTTTTGCTCTATGATCAGAGGAGGACCCAGAAGCACAGCGAGGTTAAGGAACTTATGCAAGATCACACAGCCCAGACCACAGAGTCACTAACCTCTTAACTCCTGAGGTAATTCAACCTCTGCCAGAGTGGCAAGGCACAATTGGAACAGCAATAATAGTGATGAGAAGAGCTGCTCCTGAATGGGCAATGCTAGGCAGTAGGTCCTGTCACCTGTTTTCATCCCTATGTGACCCACCAAGGGTCTAACAGCAGGTGGGAGGCCTGGGTGGGGAATCTCTGGGTGGGGGGTGCACCCTGCCCCTGATATCTTCCTTCCCTGGCAGGTACCAAGTGATGCAGCGATGCTGGGAGGTGGAACCGACAGCACGACCCACCTTCAGAACACTAGTGGGGGAAGTGGAGCGGGTAGTGGCCTCACTGCTTGGAGACCACTATGTGCAGCTTCCCACAGCCTATGTGAACCTGGGCCCCAGCACCTCTGATGAGGTTAACCTGGGGCCTGGCATCTCCAATGAGGTGAATGTGCTCCCAGAACGGCTGCAGTCCCCACTCACACATAGGAGCACATGGCGGCCCCGGCCCCTTTCAGAGCCACCTCGGCCCCTTTGACCTAAGCCCTAGGCTGGCCCATGGAGCTAGACCTACTTAGCGGCCTTGAGGTGACCGCAAGCTGCCTCTGGGCCATGCCAGGCCTGAGGACAGTGGGCCTCCACCTTGTCCCTGCCCTTTAAATGTCAGAGGCAATAGGTGAACGGGGCAAATTAGGTTCCTCACTCCACAGAGTGAGCCAGTAAGGACAATCCTCTGCCACACATATTTATGGAGTGCCTGCTGTGTACCCTACCTGCTGAGCACGGGGCTCAGCAGTGACGACACAGACACTGACCTTTGAACCAGTAAAAGAGTAAATGAATATTCAAGTACAAATTGTGGTAAATGCGATGAAAGACAGGAGGCTTCTCTGAGTGGAGGACTGCTTTAGATAGAAAAATGAATAGTGAAGTAAGGGAAGCCGCCCAGGAGGTGACATTTTTGCTGAGGCCCTATCTGCTGGGGAAAAACCGCCAGAAGCAGAGTTGAGGGAAGAAAGTTTTGGCAAAGTGGGTAGCACATGCAAAGGCCCTGAGGTTGGAAAGGTTAGCAAGAAGGTTCCATAGAAGAGTGGGCAAGGCCCAGATCCAGGTTATAGGGCTCTGAGACTGTTGGATGAAACCAAAGGAGTGAGTTGAGTTCTCTAGCATGTAACAGCCAGGACAGTTTCTTCATTGACTCAGGTCACCTGCCCCCCTTCCCTAGCACTTCTCCAGGGCTCCCTGCCCCATCTTCAGCATCCTCCTCTCCCTCTCCCCGCCATCAGAGCAAAGAGATTTGCCTACCCCTCAACCCTGCCAGCATTGCACTTGCAGCCCTGAGAGAGATGAGCCAGCAGCAAGGCTTCTCAGCTCCACTCTTTCAAGGAGCCAACTTCTTTTTTTTTTTCTGTCCTTTTTGAGACCGGCCGCACTGCGCTCAGACAGTGCACGCACCGGCCATCCCTATATAGGATCCGAACCCAAGGCAGGAGCGCTGCTGCACTCCCAGAGCCGCACTCTCCAGAGTGCGCCACGGGCTCAGCCCTCAAGGAGCCAACTTCTTTTTTTTTTTTTTACTAACCAGTAACGGGATCGCAACCCTCGGTGTCGCGCCCGTACCGCGGACCAGGAATGGGATCGCAACCCTCGGTGTTGCACCCGCACCGTGCTCAGCCAGTGAGCGGGAACCAGTCTCCACATGGGATCCGAACCCTCGGTGGGAGCGCCGCCGCGCTCCCAAGCGGCGCACTCTCCAGTGCGCCACCGGGCCGGCCCAAGGAGCCAACTTCTAAGCGCCAGTTGCCTGGTCTATTTATACTTGTCAAGGCTACTGCACGGTAGCTGCTAGAGGGGCATGCTCCTCTGGAAAGGAACAGTTTCCCCCTCCTCTTATCTCTACCACACACTCTCACTGCTTGGGGGACAGTCAGGGACTGCTGGTGTGGGTAGCTGGGGCGCCAGGGTGCCTGGGTCCAGGATAATGTTTACTCTCCCTTGCTCAGGACCCCCATAGCCTCCATCCCTTCAGTTGGGAGACCTAAGGTCATCCTAAGGGGGGCAGCCTCCTTCCTCTCTGAGCCCCCAGTTCTGTGCCCTGTCACACATGGACCCCTGGGTTTGGAGCTAGAGATCCCTGCTAAGCAGAGTGGGGGTGTCCTTGGGACAAGAGCTGCTCAGCTGTTCTCTACCCATACTGCTGTCCACTCTGTCACCTCAGGACAGAGAGAGGCCCAGTCCTGGGGACCTTAAGGACTCTGAGGACAGGTGGATAAAAGGGGACTCTTTTATCTGCTTGAGTACAGAGGTCCAAAGGTCAGGGGCCTACCAACTGAAAGGAGCCAGAGACAGAGTCTGTCTGCCTGTTTACTGCTATACCTCTGATGCCTCATGGTTTAGGCACAGAGGAGGTTGTAGCCTCATATACTTGGCCACTGACCCCTCTTCTCTGTGTATGGGGAAACAGTTGTGTTACCCCTGAGGCTGACAGAGAGGTGAGCAGAGTATCCTGGAGCACCCCTCAGAGCTGTTGTCCCTGAACCACTTGGAAAGGACTTATCTTTATCCCTCCCACTTGCAGTCCTCACCCCTTAACCTCATCCTGAGGATTTAAGGGTGACCCAAAGCTCTAAGCCCTGGGTGGGGAGTGAGGAAAAGGCCAGGGGCTCCTTCCATACTGAGCCTCTGCAGCTCCTGGACTACTGGCTCATCTATTCATTAAAAAGAGGCTCAGAGAGGGTGGGGGTCTCTGGACAGGAGGGAAGCAGGGTGGGAGGAGGAGAGAGCTCAGGCAGTATCAGGTGTCCTGTGCAGCCAGGGCTTTGGGGAGTGTTTCTGGGCCAAGACCTTCAGGGCCAGAATTCTCCAGGGAGAGGCCCCAGTTAAGCAGGTGCTTGGGTTCCTGGATTGTGGTACAGTTTCTACCACCCCCAACTTCTGCAGCCCCCAAGCACTGAGCCTATTTTCATAGCCACCTGGTAGACCCAAACCCATCCAGACTGTCAGGAGCTGGAAATGTTTTACAGCTTCAAATTGGTGACACCTATCTGAGGGGACAGGTAAAGAGGGTCAGTTCTAGGTCTCCAGATGGGCTGGGGAGACCAGGAGGTTTCTAAGTGGACTCCAGAGCTCGTGAAGGCTGGGCTGACTCTTCCCTGGAGGAGGCCTGAGTAGTAGCTCAGGTATGATAGGTGGCAGTGCAAGGGAAGTTTGCTAGTGGCCCTGGCAGGCCAGGGCCTGCCAGCAGAGTGGGAAGTGGCAAGTAGAGGTTTCTCCCAGGGCTTTGGGAGTCCGATCTTTACGCCAAGAGGTGAGGAAAACAGGCATCAAATCTTCTGTCTCATCTCCCTTCATCTCAGCCCAGTGGGGCTGGGGGCAAGCAGATGCAAGTAAATGCTGGGGGGAGGCCAAGGTGGGAGCTAGAGCTGAGGAAGCAGCAGACGACTCACACCCTCCTGACTGCCCATTAGTGTCATTGTCATTTGACACCTGGAAGGCATGCTTGGGGTTGACTGACCTGCTTTGATGGGGAACCATGGGTCTGGCCTCAGATTCCTCTTATGCCTCAGCCCCAGCCTTTCAGGGAATTTTCCCAGGGACCCAAAGGCTGGGGGATCACACCTGTGGGCTCCAGCTATAGCCCCATCCCAAACCCAGTCTATGGCTCTGTGGGGACTCAGGGCCCAACCCCATAGTGGTCCTACTTTGAGCTCAGGGAAGGAGCCGAGAGAAGTTGCTGACTCTTTGGTGGGCAGAGGGAGAGGAACCAGCAAGCACCAGAGGCTCCCAATGCCAGGGGCATCCTCACTTTCCTCTCTGTTCTCTTTCAGTTTGGTTTAGCCACTTGCACACTCAGTGGCCAGTCTTGGGCTGGGCATTTGGGATCTGGTCAAAAGGCATGGGGCTTGAAGCAGCTGGTAGCCAAGATCATGGGATTCAATCAACTTTGAAGGCAGCATTCCCTCCCTCATGACACAAGTACTTCCTGGGATGTTGTAGCCTGGACCGTGGAAAATTAGAGGACCCAAAGCAGTCAGCTCCACCCCCGGCCTCAATGGCAGTGACAGCTTCACCCAAGTATCAATCCTGCTGACAAGTCCCTCCAAGCCAGGGAACTCCCTCTTCAAAGGGAGAAAGGAATCCTTTGGGCAGCTCCAGTCACCCAGCCCACAGAGGCTCCTGTCCTGGTCTCTCGGACCTAATCATCTGTTCTTAAAGTCACTCCTACCCTCCACTGGTCCTGGGTTATGTAGGCACCCTGAAGGAGGATAGCTTTTCTCACATCCACTCTGAACATGTGGTTGGAGGTCTCTTCTCAGCAGTCATGAAGCCTCATGTGCTTCTGGCAGCACTTCCTTCACCCTTACTTATGTTGGCTCCTGGAGGGGGTGCTGCTCCCAGAGAGAGAGAGGAGCTCACCCAGCCCCTAAGTCAGCTGTGGGCCACAGTCAGGGTGACTGTGCTGTTGCCCTCCCTCTGGGCTGATGTGGCTGGCCATCTTTTACACAGTTACGTAAGTTTGAGTCAATTGGGGCTCAGAGCGGTTCATTGTGGGCTATTTTTAAGCTGCAACACATCACAGCAGAGGGGTCACTGCACTGCTGGCTTGCAGGGAAGGTTGTTTAAACATCTGTTATTTAAATTTCCCTTTGCCTTAGAGCTCAGAAACCACATCTTCCTGGCCCTAGTGGGTTCTGCCTTCCATATCCCAGATTAGGAGTGGATTATCTCCCCTCACCCTGCCATAAATTTCCTTAGGGCTGGCATTCTGGCCCTGGATGTCTTCCTCTGGAGTCAGGAAAGGGGGCCAGGAAGCAGGAGGTGCCAGTGTCTTCAAAACATGTTCCTCCCTCCATGGAATGGGTATACCCTGGCCAGGAGAAACTTCAGGGAAGCAAGAGGTCTAGGGCTTTAGGTCACTTGGATAGCTCCAAGGAAGAGGGTTAGGAGATCAAGGCACAGACAGAGTACTGAGCTTAGAGCCAGGAGACAGAGAGTGCATCCTTCCTCCTTGAGGCCTTGGTTTCCCATCAGCACTGAGAGGGTTAGATCACAAAATCCTTCTGGGTCTTTTCAGAAGCCTGCCTTTGCCTGGGCTGGGCTCCTAACTGGAATGCCCTCCCTCCACAGATCTAAATGCTACCTCTGGGGCAGAAGCACTGGTATATTAGCTTATGGACAACAGACAGGGATGAACCTCTAGGGAAATACGCCTTGCTTTTCACTTCATTATCAAGTGGTTGTTGCACTGGGAGCCCTTTAAGGCTCCTTCTAGACTGGAAGAGCTTAGGGCCAAGTACTTGACAGAGCTAGCTGCCTCCTGAGGACACTAAGCAAAAATAGGTCCGTGTTGGAGAAGCAGGTCGGGAGACTTTGGCCAGCCCTAGAGCTCCAGGTAGAATGTAGCCTTCTGCCCCTCTCCCCTCGATGCCCTTCCTGCCATCTCTCCACCATCCTCAAGGCCTCCTAGGTGGAAGGGTTCCAGCCTGATCCATGGGGGAGGTGGGTTTTTCAGGGTGACTGGACTCTCCACAGGGCTTGGGGCCTTCCCCTAAAGCCTGCCTGGAGGGGTGATGTGTGAGGTGGAAGGCAATGCTGGGACATGCCCTCACAGAGGAGACTCCATCAGGCCTAGCCCTCAGACTGAGCTCCTTCCAGCTCCTCCTTGCCACTCCCCTCCCACCCAACAGCCTTCAGCCTGGGGAATGGGCTCCGGCTGGGGGAGGGGCTTTCCAGGTTGCTATGGCAACATGTTGGCCCTCCTTACTTACCAGAATCAGAAATAGAATTGGACTCCCTTCCTCCTGGTAAGAGACTATTTAAAAACATGTGGGGGGAGGGGCACAGGGGTGCTATCCCTAGGGGCTGGGCAGAAGGGGCCCAGCCTGGGAGCCTCCTTACCCATCCTGCTGCCCCTCCCCTCAGCTATAAGAGATGGGAGTGGGCTTTGACCAGCCAAAAATTCTGAATGCAAAGGACTCAGCCTGGCCCTTACTCAGCATCAGCAAGTTCCTGAGGGCACTGGCTTAGTGGCCCCAACAGGGAAAATGACCTCTCCCAGGCCTGAGCTACCTGTCAGGAGGAGGAGCAAGTATATGCAGGACACAACTTGGGTGTGGAGCATGTTGGGTCCCCTCCAGCAGGGCTCATGCCCACATGGCCCTAGGCATGGCACCCACTGGTGGCACCACAAGTTCCTGAAGTTGGGTCCAGAGCTTGGTGGCCTGGCTTCAGAGTCTGGTTCTATAACATACTAGCTGAGACAGATCTCTCTTCCCTTTCTGTGTCTTGATTTCCTCATCTATAAAATAAGATATGATAGTGCCCAATCCATTGAATTGCTGTGAGGGTGGGTTACATGTGCTCCACACTGCACTGGCACAGAGAAAGGACCTGGTCAATACCAGTCATTGTTCTTATTGTTATAAGGGATGTTTGCTTCTCAGGTGGGAGGGGTCTTCTCTCTCCTGGCTGCCTCCTTTGGGCCTTCTTTCATGGGCCGGCCCTTTAGCTGACTCTGTCCCCTTCCCCCAAGAGACCTCAGGCTAGTTGTTCACAAAGGACTCCAACCCTGGAAAGGAGGGTTATGCCTCACTCCTGCAGGAGGTGGAGGGTTGCTCAGTGGTCAGACAGGTCGGGGGCTCTCAGGATCTCCCTCCATGCCTCCCCAACCCTCCCAGGTACAGCCCAGCTCAAATGCTGCACAGGCACTAGAGGCTGCTGCGAGCACCTCTGTCATGAAAAAACAAAAATAAAAACAAAAAGAACTAGCTTTCTCAGGACAGAGATTAATTAAGTTAATAGTGTTTGGCAATTACGTGTGTACACGAGTGTATGCATGCACATGCACAGGCCATGGACTCTTGGTCTCTGCCACCTTCCTAGGCCATAGCATGAAGGCGAGCAGCTCCTCCTCGGTGTCCAGAGCTGTCTGTCCCAATTCTTTTTTTTTTTTTTTAAAGATAACCAGTAAGGGGATCTTAACCCTTGACTTGGTGTTGTCAGCACCACGCTCACCCAGTGAGCTAACCGGCCATCCCTATATGAGATCTGAACCCGTGGCCTTAGTATTATCAGCACCACACTCTCCCGAGTGAGCCATGGGCTGGCCCTGTCTGTCCCAATTCTTAAATGAAGGCAGCATTTGGGGAAACAGAAAGGAGCCCAGGGGGCATGAGATATGGCTTAGTTAGGCTTTGCCCAGTGCCAAGTTAGATGTGGATGCAGCATAGTGCTAGCCTCAGTCCCTGGTCACACAGCCTAGCACCCCATGGCCAACTGTAAACGCTATTTTTAACTTCTGTGAAAACACACTGCTTCGGAGGACAAGCCTACAACTGCATTCTCCACAAACCTGTTTCCTGGGTGGCAAGACTGAGGCCTGAAAAGACATAGCCCCGGAGGACAGAGGGAGGAAGCCCAGAGCTCAGAGGAGTGTGGGGTGGGGGGTGGAGTGGGGAGGAGAGCCTGCCCTTGCCCCTGCCCCAGGTCAAAACCTCCAGACCCATGCCATGGCAATGGGTGGCTCTCCAAACTGATGCCTAGGCCTGTCTTCTGTGGCTGCAGGGCAGCTCTGGACCTGAGCTGGTGGTCCAGTCAGGACCCACTCCTCCCTGCCCCTCTGTTTCTCAGTCTACAAAATGGAGGGTATAACTGCCCACCTAGTCTTATAGCTTACATTTCCTATGTACCTACCCCATGTCCAATCCTTTGTCCAACTTGTCCTTAGGGTATATGCAGCTCTGTGCCCACTGTGTGCTCAGTCCTGTACCCACCATGTCCCCACTGTCTGGCCAGACCTGTGCGTACCATATCCCCACTATGTAGCCAGCTTTATGCCCACTGTATGGACATCCCTGTAACTACTGTATCCCTACTGTGCCCCATCCTGTAATTGCTACTTGGATGGCCCTGTGGCCACTATGGCCTAGCCCTGTGCCCAATGCTCTGCCTCCCCTTATGGCCAAGGTAAAGCTGACACAATGTGACAAGAAGTAGAACATTCTGACTTGAGGATTCTGAGCAGAGGCCCCACCCCCCGCCCCTTCCACCCCCATCCCCATGCCTGTGGGATACTCATCCTGGACTTCAGGGACATGTGGCTCTGGGGAGGGGGCTCTATGAGGCACAGGAAGAGGAGAACCATCTGGAGCAGCAGAGACTGCCAAGGAGCTGCTGTCCCTGGAGCGGGAGCTGGGGAACATTGGGGAGGGGAGCCTGGGCCTGAGCCTGGGCCCCTCACTCCCTTCTGCCTCCCAGGACTGAGTGGCAAAGGGGTTTTGGCCCCTGCAAAAGGCCTCATGCCAGGGGCTTCCTTAGAGTCTCCCCTGCTTATCTTTCTCCTCTGTCCTTACACTGACCCCCCTGGGGCACTGCCCTCACTCTGGGATGGCCTGGGCAAGTGGTCACCTAGTTGGTAAGGGGAGAGGAGGCTGGCCTACTTCACTGTGGTCCTTGGGCCTCTCTGCTTCCCAAGATTCCCTGGGCAGACCCCCATTCCTCAGGAGGGTGGGGCCCATAGTTTCCCACACTCTGTCACCACCCAGGTCACTGGGGGCTGTGATGTGTGGGGTTGCCATGGCAATGAAGTGGGGGCAGGGCACCTAGGGTATGGAGTAGGACTATGGAAGCCACCAAGAAGGTGGGAGGCCCTGATCCATCGGGCCCCCAGGGCCACTACTTGGCCAGCAGCCAGCAGCTGGGGGGTGGCCTCACAGGGTCCCAGGGACCATTGATAAATTCAGGATCCTTGTACCTCAAGCAGGGGTTGTCATTGTCCGAGGCCATCATCGATGGGGCCTATGACCCAGCCTCCCAGGCCCACATGCCTGAACCCATTCAACAGCTACTCCAGGATCCTGCTCAGGTTAGCTCCCAACACGGCTGTGAGTGGGCCTCCCAGAATGCCCGAAGACTCACCTCCACTAGCCAGTTTCCAAGCCCCATTGTGGGAGCCCAACAGCGTCTCATCATGAAGAATGTGACCCTGACCCTGCCACAGTGCAAGCACAGTGACAGCATCAGTGACATAGCCCAGCATGGACCCTGCTGCCCCCAGCTTCAGGTACAGATTAGGGGGAAGAGCAAGGCTCCAGCTAAAGTCCTGGTAGGCTGGGGCAAAGGCCCCTGCAGCCCCAACCAGATGACCTCCTTGGGTTCCAGGAAGATTCGGTGGCTAACCCACTTCCTCTCAGGAGAGAATGGTGTAGCTGAATCCCAAGGTCCTCTTCTAGCTCCAGTTCAGGCCCAAGGTCAGGGCCAGGACAAGTGCCCATGTCCAGCTAAGGCTCCTGCCCTAGCTACAATTTCTTCTTTTCTGTCACCGGCTCCTCCAACTCGAGCTCAGGATACTTCTCCAGCTCTGGATGCAACCCTAACACCTGCTGCAGTTGAACCTCACACCTGCACCCTTGACTGCCTGACTGACACCACTGCAGTTACCAAGGGCCTATCTCAAGACCTCCTCCTCAGGAGGTATGGCAACCAATGGTCAATCCTCCTGGAGTCTTCTAAAATGGTCACATCCTGCCAGGACAAAATGAATTCCAGCTCTAAAGAGGAGCCTCCCAACCCAGTGCCTACTCCAGAAAAGTCCCCACGCCATGCCCAGGAGAATGAGGTTGCCAGAAGGCAGATGCTACCAGAGCAGCCCGAGAACCCAGCAGAGAAACCCCCTTTCTACACCTCCATGCCAAGTAGCCCAACACTAGGCCTAGAGGCCCCAGGTACTCCCAAGTCCCAAAGGAGTAACCCAGAGGAAATCTATAGCTCTCAGCCAGACAAGCAGCCCCTAAATGTCTGCAACACTACCTGCTCCAATGTACCACTGTCTGCCTACCAAGTAACCTGCCACAAGCTGTCACCATTCCAGTCTCCCTGGGATGCCATGCAGATCACCTCCTCCAGTGCCCCTACCTGCCACCTCCGGGAAGACAGAGAAGACCACGTGCTGGTGTTTGACATGGCCACATGCAACACCAGGATGGGGCTGTTGTGCCATGACCCTAAGGGCTCACGGGCAGAGCTGGTGGGCTTAATGCCCAGCCACCCATCTATCTATGTCCCTGAAAATATGCTGTCCACCCAGCCTTTGGCCAAGCCCATTCTCTCCCCTGACAGTGATTACTCCAGCTTCTGGTCCACCACACCCATGCTGTCCAGCCCTATGCCCTCCAGCCTTTCATCTGGCAGCCACCGAGAGGTAGCCCTGGTACCCAAGGAGAGCAGGCTCAACCTAGAGTCACAGGACTCCCCTGTTACTGAGACACCCATAAGCGTTGGAGTGCTCACTGGGCCTGTTCCACTCGGGATGCCCCTCCAATTTGGTGAGAGGATACTGACCCATGTCCCTGGTCCCAGCTGGTCCAAACCTGATGCTGAAAAAAATGAAACTAGTCACACCATCTGGATGCTGGACTCCTCCAGGATGCCAGATACTTCCACAGTCCAGACCAAGAAACTGCAGTGGATAAACTCAGAGCCTGTTTCACCAGCCAATACCCAGCAGGTGCCCAGATCCCTGCTTCAGGAGGACATAGGCAGACACAACTGGAAAGAGGTCATTACTACTCACTCTGATAACCCTTCGGTTGAAGATACTAGCAAGGCCCCCCTCGCTGGTCAGACCTTCCTTATGGATCTGCCCCCTCTCAATGGGCAGACCCCTCTTACCAGGCAGATTTCCCTCAGTGGGCAGTCACCCCTCACTGGGAAGCCCCACTTTTCCAAAGAACCTCCCATCACCAAAGAGCCCACCCTCTCAAGAGGCCCCCCTACCATCAAAGAGCTTTGCCAAGCCTCTACCCAGGAAGGTGAATCTTTGGGCCTGCCTTCCAATGTGGGGGTACTTCGGGTACCCCTGGTTCCCAAGGAAACCTGTATGTATATGAGTAGAGACAAGGTCAGCATCAGTAGTGCTCAAAGCGCCAGCTTGCATCAGCTCTCATCCTGGCAACTTGGCAGCTCCCCCAGAGCCCAGGAGGAGCAGTTTTCCTTGATCACATTTACCACACCTAGCACTGGCTGCAAGGTCTTGCCCAGGGCCACGGGGAGTACTGAGCCCCAGAACGCTCGGTTCAAGCTGAAAGCCGAGGACATAACACACTCCTCAGTGGTTGCGCACCGCGGAGCCTGCTGTGAGTTGATGTCCACCGCGGATGCTCTGCCAGTGCCGCCACCAGTGCTCTGTCGCTACTCACTGGGCCCCTACCAGGACATGGCAGCAGTGGTGATTGATACAGGAACAGGATTCACCAAATGTGGACTGGCTGGAGAGGACCATGTCCTCAGTGTGGTACCCTCACAAGTCCAGCTGCTACAGCACCCAGCCCAGGACCAGCCTCCGTATGCAGTGCCTGAAAGTCGAGAGGGCTCTTACTCTGTGCTGAACCGAGGTGTGGTCTCCGACTGGGATGCACTAGAAGTGCTGTGGCAGCACCTGTTCTACTGTAGGCTGGGCGTGAAGACTGAGGACCTGGCTGTGCTAGTGGCCGACTCACCCATCTCACCGCGCACCAACAGAGAAAAGGTGGCTGAAATACTCTTTGAACATTTTCATGTGCCAGCCATGCAGACAGTGCACCAGGCCCTGCTGGCGCTCTATGCTTATGGGCGTACCACTGGGCTGGTGCTAGGCAGTGGCCATGGCACCTCCTATGTGGCGCCCATCCTCACTGGTAACCTGGCCCCACTTGACACCTACCGGCTGGATGTGGCCGGTGCTGACCTCACCAAACACCTGGCTCAGCTGCTGCAGGCAAGTGGCCACTCACTGCCCAAGGTAGGGCTGGTCAACCAGATTAAAGAGGCCTGTTGCTATGTGGCCATGGACATGGCAGCCGAGATGGCCCACACCCAGGCCAAGGCCCAGGTGGACTTTGTGCTCCCAGATAAGCAGGTTATCACACTGGGCTCTGAGCGCTTCTGCTGCCCTGAGGCCCTCTTCCAGCCCACTCTGCTAGGTGTCAACCAACCAGGCCTCTCACAGCTGGCCCTCTTAAGCATCAGCCGGCTCGAGGCTAAGCAACAAGAGCAGCTGCTGGCCAATGTAGTGCTGGATGGTGGCAGCACCCTGGTGAGTGGCTTCCCTGAGCGCCTGAGACAGGAGCTAGGCTCTGGTGCCACTGTGCTGGGTTCTCCCCACCGTGCAGTTGCTGCCTGGCTTGGGGGCTCCATCATGGCATCCCGGGACTCCTTCCAGAGCCTGTGGCTCAGCCGCCATGAGTATGAGGAGGAGGGCCCATGGGCTATCTATAAGTACCAGCTGTGAGCACATAAACATTCTGGTTCTGCTTGCTTGAAGCATTGTGGCATGTTTCAGGCACAGGGTGGTGTGGAGAAAGGAGGAATCCAGGCATGGGGTCGGGAATAGGGGCCCTGGCTCTCCCAAGGCATTCCCTGCCTCTGCACTCTGGACCTCTGTGGGTCTTGGCAACCTGGCCTTTCTGGAGAGCCCCAGAGCCCCTTGGCTGGCATTGGCTCTGGTCTGGCCTGACCTTTACTGCACCCCAAGGGCAACCACAGAGAGTGGCTGCTGTGGGTTTTGCCCCGTTGCCCTGACGACAAGTGCAATTACCCTTGATTGCCAGCTAGTTGCCATGGCAATTTCAAACATAATGTAATAACCCACACAGCCTGGAGTGAGTCACGAGGTGGGGGGGTGGGGGGTTTGG